CGATATGCTCGTCGAATGTTTCACTTATTACGACAATGTCATCGAGATAACAGAAGACTTTGTTGTCAAAATCAGGGGTAAATAACATATCCATAAGTCTCTGTTGAGTAGCAGGGGAATTAGTTAAACCGAAGGGCATTACTTTAAATCTGTACATTCCTCTGCCTGGAACGTAGAATGCAGTCTTGTCTTTGTCTGCCGGGTTAAGAGGAGTCTCCCAAAAAGCTTTGGCAATGTCAATACTAGACAGGTATTTGGCATTCCTAAGGTTATCTAAGATCTCGCTTATAAGGGGAAGGTTATATGCGTCACGACGAGTAACAGAGTTCAGTTTCCTGCTGTCGACGCAGAAACGCCATTCACCATTTTTCTTGGGAGTAATAATCACTGGGGATAGCCAAGGGCTTTCACAGGGTTCAATTACGTCCCATTCAAGCATTTTATCCACCTCATTAACTAATGCTTTTTGTTTTTCAGGGGATAATCTATAGCATCTTTGTTTGATAGGAAGGGAATCGCCAGTGTCGATTTTGTGAGTTATCAGATGAGTACGTCCCAGTACTCCTTTTTCCTCAAATGAGATACCTTTTAAGCGATTGATAATGCTATCGGCTATTTCCTTCTGGTCTTTAGTAAGATGGTCATAAGGAAGTACTTTTTTGTCATCGTTCTGAATGGATGAGCATTTGAGGGTTGAGAGACCAGCTGAAGATAGTAAAGAAGGTAGCAAATTAAATTTGTTCCAAAAATCAATCCCAAGGATAAGGGAAGGAAAAAGTTCAGGAAAAGCATAAGCTTTAATTATATGAGTCTGCTCATTGAAGAACATTGGTACTTCAAAATAGCCCAATGATTTAATTCTTTGTTGGCTAGCAGTTGAGATAGAAATACAATCTGACTTGAAAAGTTTGAAGCCAAGTTTAAGAATTTCCAGATGGGAATTATTGCCGAAAATGGTAACTGAACTACCAGAGTCCAGAAGACCAGACATGTTTAGATTATTAATTCGAACATTAATGAAAGGGCGTTTGGAATCTTTCTCATTAGAGTAGAATGTAGAAGAGATTTTATAGCAAGAAAAGAAATTTTTAAGTGTTGAAAGCCAAATATTCCAATCGTTAATGTCGAATTTAGGAGAGCTTTTCAAGTCAATAATTAGTTTTTTGAACTAGTATTAGGTTTAGGGTTACATTTAGGACAGTCTGCGGTTTTAAAACCTTTCAACCCGCACTTGAAGCAAATGATGAAGCGAGGTTGAGAGCAAGTTTTAAGTTCGTGTCCATGTTGTCGACAACGAACGCAGAAAACGTCTTTTTGAAGGGTGTTAACCTGGTAAGGTTTTTTAAAGAAAGGTTTTTGAGCAATAGTAAGAGGAGGAGTAGGAAGAAGAGTAGGGGAAGGAATTTGAGGTTTATAGTTGAATTCTGGCGTTAAAGAATTTGAGATAGGTTCTTTGAAGTTTTGGTCTCTATCCAGGAATTTTTCATAATTTTGACAGGTAGATAAAAGGGAATCGATAGAGTTACAGTCCTTAAGTGCCACAAAGACTGAGTAGCAAGGTCTGATGTTTCTAAGAAGAATTTCAAGCTGTTCATTATCAGTAAGCTTCTTTGTGAGACGTGAGAACATTCCTACCATGATAGAGATGTAGATGGCTATCGGTTCCTCTAAGCCTTGAGTACGACTTCTAATTGCCTCTAAGAGTTTATAGTCGTAATCGAAAAGGCCAAAATCCTTTGTTAGCAATTGCGTAAGTTCTACCCAAGATAAGTTAGGATTCCTACTAATTTGGAATCTGAACCAATGAAGAGCGTTGTCAGTAAAAATTTCATAAGCCTGATTAATAAGAAGGTTTTTATCAAAGTTTCGTGAAATGCAGTATTCATCCAACTTTTGGAGAAAAGATCTAGGGCAGGATTTACCATTAAAAGTGTATTTTTTTAGATCCTTAAAGATATTAGTGTTAATTGGAGGTTGAGGATAAGAAAAGATTAGGGGTTGAGGCTGAGAAGAGGGTTGAGGAACTTCAGGTATATAAGTAGTTGGGGAATCTATAGGTGTGACTATATTTTCCGCTGGGTGAAAGGTAAAAGGCTCAAATTTATTATTTAAGTCGTCAAATTTAGTTTTAAGACAAGTAAAAGTAGTCAAAAGTTCAGGGTTAAGGTCAATGTCTATACGTTCAAATCTGTAATAAATATGGTTAAGGTAAGTTTCAATAAGGCGAGCAAATTTAGAATCGCCCTGTAATAATCTATTAATTTTCCCTTCAAGGTAATTGATGGTAGTATCAAGTTGAGCAAGATCCTCATCAACTGGAAAAGGAGAAGTTAGAATATCCTCTGGCGAAGTTATCGAAGAGAGTCTTTGAATTTGTTTTCTCAACTCTAAGACTGTATTTGCTGGATTCTCTAATCTAATTGTTACCTCATAGATCAGTTCAGCTTTGTTGAGGTGTTCAAATTTAATTAATCTAGGCATTGTTAAGAATAAAGATAAGTTAATAAAGTTCAAATTAAATACCTTGTTTCCTTCTAAAAAAAAATAAAATTAGAGTGAGTAAAAATGAAGTTCAGTGAGAGCTAAGAGTTAGCAAGAAGAGGGAAAAAAAAAATAGAAAGTTAAGTAGTAAAAAATAATTAAAAATTATAAGTAAATTAAGGAATAAGATGACTAATATTTACAATTAAATAGAGTATAAAGGTATTTAGATAAATAAAGCAAGTTAAGAATATTTACAATATATATATAAATATATATTATATATATATTATGATAAAGGGGATTTTTTTTTTATTTTCAAATAAGATGCCAAAGGGGATGAATGGGATAGGGACACTAGAAGAAGTGTTGTTTTAGAATTTAGAGGGGAGGCTGGAGGGACAAATGAAGATAAAGGTAAGGAAGAGGGAAAAACTAAAGAGAAGACCTGAAGACTAAACTAAAGAGTTGGGCGCCAATTTTGTTGTGTAGCAACAAAATAAAACTAGATAGGAAGAAAAAAAAATCAAAAGAACAGTATAGGAATATATATTTACAAGATAAAGTACTATTTACAGATTATTAAAAAAAAAATATGGAATATGTGTGTAGTGTGAGTTGTGAAGTGGGCGTGGGTCGTCGGCGATCTTCAGGGGCGGCTTGAACGGTAGGGCGTGGGTCGTCGGCGATCTTCAGGGGCGGCTTGAACGGTAGGTCGTGCTACAGGTAGATGGACGGCGCTCCTTGGAGGCAGAAGCGCTCCTGTGCAGCCGTCTTAGATCTTGGCCTCCCCTGGTGGTTGCTGGCGGCGCTGCTGGTAGTTTGGCCGGCGTATATCGGCCAGAGGCGGGCGTTGAAGAAACGGCAGGAGTCGGTAGAAGGCGGGCTGAAGCAGCTGGAGGCTGGCCGAAGAAGCTGGAGACCAGGCGCAGTCCCACCGATGAGGTTGCGAGAACGTGTATAGTAGTATAGTATTGGAGTTAGGAAGTTGTTTAAAGAGCCAATAGGTGCTAAAAAGCTTTGAGGTCTTTCTTGAGTCCCGGGGCAGTCGGCCCCGGGACAAGGCCTTTTATTAATTTAGAGCTCGGTAGCGAGCTTTCAAAAGTTGAGTAGACAACTTTTGCCGTAGAATTGAATAAATGATCAGGGAGGCTCGGCCTTTTATAGGTCCGGAACCATTTGAATTTAGACACGGTTCGAATCGAGCCAAAAAGAATCCAAGTAAGTGGTCTGTGGAGGTTGAATAGTCATAGACGTAGTTGGAGAGAGTATCCGTGTCATGGGTAGCCATGGCAACGGATAAAAAACATTAGGTTGTCATAAAATGTCAATAAAATAAATAAATTAAATATAGATAAAATCAAAGCATAATAAGTGAAAACAAGTAAATAACAGAATAAAGAGAAATGCCGGTAAGTGTCCAGCACTCTGGAATAGTGATTTTCAGTACAGAAGAAATTATTATACGTATTTACAAAGTGATGAATAGTGTGTGATATTTTTGAAATTATGTGTTTCCAGGAATAAATGATAAAATATATGATGATGCCTGATGAATATCGATGATGTTATATGATAAAATGTGCGAAATGGAACCTATGATAATCGAAACCATGAGTCGAAACCATAATAAGGTACGTTACAGCATCTTCTCGGCGTGAGATGTGGCCAAAGAAGGTTAGAATGCGACCTTGTACGATGGAAGACAGACGTTGTTTGATGGACAGTTCCTGGAGGATGGATGCATTGGTTCGGAATTGTGTCCACTGTATGCCAAGCATTTTCCTCCAGCACCACATTTCTAGAGCGTCTATCTTCTTTTTCTCACTCTCTCGCAAGGTCCACGTCTCAGCACTATAAAGGAATATGGGAAACACTAATGCCCTGACGAGTCGTGTTTTTGTGGCTTTTGTGATGTTCCAGTTTCTCCATATTTTTTGAAGTTTGTCCATAGCTGACCTCGTGATTGCCATGCGCCGCTTGACTTCATCTGCACATCCACCGTTGCCCGAAATCAGTGCTCCAAGGTAGATGTATGACTGAACGACATCGCAGTTCGCGATTTTAGTAATTTCTGGCGAGTTGTTATTAGCACGATCGACAATCATAATCTTGGTTTTACTGCGATTTACCCGCAGTGTTACCCGCAGTTTATTAGGGGTATTTTCCCGCATTAAAACGTAGCCTGTGTTAATCCAGGATGTCAGCTAACTCCATACCAAATTTTATTAAAATCGCTCCAGCCGTTTAGACGTGAAAATGTAACAAACATACACACACAAACTTTCGCCTTATAATATTAGTGTGGTAGTGTCTCTTCAATTTAAAAATGTCATCATAACTCACATAACGAAGTGGAGATATAAAATAGCGACATTTCTATGAGATCTAGAACAGGCCAGATCAGTCGATCACAATACGCCGGTCAATTTAGAAAACATATTTTTTTTGTATTATCGCTGGTTCTGATTGTTTCCAATGCCAGTTAAAATATAATTTATTTCTTATTTACCACTCACCGAATAAATTTTTTCGAGTCCGTAGTCTGGTCGGAATCGCCGAGAGACACTTTGGTCCTGTCCAGGCTTCCCAAAGGAGTTTCTGAGCTTTCGCTATCGCCGCCTCGCCTTGTTACTCGCTGCGATACTGTCGCCTGGGGCTAATAAATTGGCAATCAGATTCCGTTTATTATATTTTTGTTTATAAGCTAAAACTTAAAAAAAAAATGCAGTTTAAAAACCACTTCTTTTTAGATTCCTTACCCAAAGGCTAAAAACGGAACCCTTTTACTAAGACTCCGCTGTACATCTGTCTGTCTGACTGTCACCAGGCTGTATCTCATGAATCGTGATAGCTACACAGCTGAAATTTTAACCGGTGGTGTATTTCTGTTGCCGCTATAACAACAAATACTTAAAACAGAAAAATAAATTAAGTGGGCTCGCATACAATAAACGTGTTTTTTTTGCTGTTTTGTGCTCTATATTAATAACGGTAACAGGTAGACGCTTGAATATTCACAGAATATTAAGTTGTATATTCACTTTGAAAGTAAATAATTAAATTTAAATAAAACAAATATTCACATACAACAAAGTGATATTTTTGCCGTTTTATGCTCTACTAGCTATTATAATGAAGTGCCTAAAGTTGTAAAGAAAATAAATGAGCTTTGAAATAACGAAACCAAATAAAACCATGTCTGTGGGATCAAATATTTGTGCTTATAACACATTTGAGGCCCAAGCACGAATTTTCATAGCTCCGTAATCGTATCGCCGTCATCGTCAAATTTTGTTTGGAAGAAGCTAGTTTGTTTGCAGAGCTGTCAAATTCGAGCTTGGGCCTCAGGAAAATCCTGGATAAGCATACCTGGGGTATTTCTTGTTCTGCGACAGTCCTAATCGGTAAATCGGCTAATCCCGCTTCTTCCAGCATCACAGTAAGACTTTTCTCTACAGCGTCGGGCGGGAGAGAGTTCACGTCCTGCCCTTGTGTGGTTCTTCGTTGTTGAGATGTTGGTCGAGTATTCGATTGAGGTAGTGGTGGTGGAGGAGTGCGAATGTTCGCCGCCCTCGGTATATTCTCCTTTTCCGCTTCTAGAAGGTAAGACGTAAGTTAGTGACTTTTTGTGTTATAGTGCGATACAAACAATATTAGTGACTTTTTGTGTTATAGTGCGATACAAACAATAGGGTGGTTGTGAAGTTAGCAACGAGTACAAGTTTCACTCGGTGAAACTTCAGCGTGAAACTCCGCGCACGTATACCCCCCTGTGCCCCCCCCCCCCCCCCCAACACATCTCTTAATCTGGCTCTGATCGCACTTTACTTATGCCTTATTGGAGGACCCTGCCCTCAAAGAGGCAAAAGACCAGTAGACAACAGAACTAACCATACAGAACCAGCGAGAATAAAGGGCCTTCACAGTGCTGCCAAGACAGTAACCAAGGCTGTTAAACTCGCTGTTTTGCGCGTTTAACAGCGTGCGTGTGTGCGTGTCCTATACGGTTTGTTTTTTTAATTTCAGTCGAAGCTCCTTTGTAGCGTTTTAATCAATCAAAAAAAAAAAGAGACGAAAGATGTAGCTATAATTTTCAATGTCGTCGTGGGTTCGAGTTCCGTTAAGAGCAGTTTTTGATTTGATGTATTTTCTCTGATGCTACTTAAAATATACATTGTTCATAAAGATCAAATTGCATGAGAGGAACTTACCATTTATCGGCACAGATGTTTCTATAGCTAAATGTTGACTTTCTCTGAATGAAACGTAGCCGCTCAGCCTCTTCCTTTTGGGCTGTGGAACATAAGTATTTTAAATATTTAAAAATTATATTTTTCATCGATTAATACAGATGTCACAACTTAATTAACGCATAATTATATCACGTTACTTCCTATATCAGTAACTTTAAACATATATAATAGAAAAACAAAATAACTTACTGAAATATCGTGTTCACTTGTACGTTTTCGCGTCTGCGACTCATTCATCACTATTTTCTGCGTCGGCAAATCTGATATGTCCACTTCCATCGGAATAGTAACATTCTGCAGATCGCCTGCGTTATTAGCGCCATCTTTCGAAATATCTATTATTTGCATCGGCTGCTCTATTTGCACTTCAATCCTTTCTGGAATAATTGCCGGTTCTTCTTCAATCCTTTCGAGCAAGGATCTTGTGCGAATTCGGCTCGTACGCTCTACTGCTATTTCCTATGTTAAATAATTTTATATGATTTTGGTAATCATAATAGTTTTATCTATGAAAGCTTTGTAGCGTCTTTGTTATTATTATACAGATGTTATTTGAACCAATGCAATGATGTATGAATGATTGAAGTGTGTGTTGTTCTGTTAGATATTTTACGGGCACACTCAGAAGTCAATTAATTTTAATGCTAGACAAAGAGACAAACGCGTGTTCTTATTTTGCTATGGCACAGAAAATCTCTGAGTGTGACCTTGAGACAGAAAGAAGATCGTTTAATAAATTAAGGGTTATGTCTTCGTGAGGTTCAACTGTTTTAACCAAAATGTCTGGCCTAAACTGATTGGTCTGTCCGTATAAGTATTCAGATATAAGACCTGACAAAAAACCAACCAACTAGGTTAGGCATATTTAAAAGGCTAAAGAAATACCAAAATTTTCACTACTTACCTCCATTTCTCTATCAGTTCTCGGATGCTTAACGACGAAACCGAGTCGTCTCTGATACATGCGAGTCAGAGGCAGGCCTATATTAGAGGCCAGACGGAAGCCCGCGCGACAAGGGCGGCGGAACAATATCTCCACGGGAACGCTGATATCGACTATGTCATCTGAGCTTTCCTGTAGCAATTTAGAGTAATAATATCTGGTGTTAGGCGTCCATTAAACATGAATGATAAAAGACGGCTATTTTCTGAAAATAAGTCATCAGTAATTGGATGATAGGTTATTCATTAGTCATAACTTTGACTGCCAGCAAACTTCAAAACCTACCATCTAATGGACGCCTGAGGAGTTAGATGACACAAATAGTTAGCGCGTTCGGTCTAAATTCGTGAAGATTGAGGATATTTCGGAATGGCCGGTTATAAGAAGGGTGATTACAAATTTAAGTAGGTAGATACTATCTTAATCTCCTTCGTTCTTCGCAGGCACGATAAGCCGTTGGTTCCGGCTGGATCTACGGTCTACATTTGCAGTCGGAACTACTTCCAATTTTTTTGCTAAAAAAAAGCAAGCCTATTTTGGAGGCGAGACAAAAGCCCGCGCCACAACACAAGGGCGCCAGAACAATATCTAATATAGAATCAAAATATAAAAAAATAATAATAATAGAATCTCTACGGGAACGCTGATATCGACTATGTCATCCGAAATTAATAATACTAATAATAATTACTGGACAATCTCAAAAGAATTGAGTAGTAAGTCTCAGGATCGATCATGGTGGAGATTCTTAGCCGAGGCGTCCGCGTCGTACGGCTGATATAATGAAGCTAAGCAGAGATTGTGGGTACCTATCTAACGTTTTAAACTAATAATAATACATACATTTTATATAAATACACACGTAAATATCAGCATCATACGTTATTCTATTGATCTCAGTCGAGCATGAGAGAACGATGACAGTAAATATGTAATTTAGCTTATAGTCGTATTCAGACTTCAATAAAATTTAATGCTTCATTTATAGTATATAAGTCACGTGTGTAGTAATGTTTAAATAAAAGAAATTGACTGTATTTACATCTTATTAAACATAAAGTTAATTAAGTTCGACCGTTAGTAACATTATAGTACATATTTTTGTGGACAAAGGTCTCGCTTAATAGAATTCAATGCACTTCTTTTGTCAATTTACAAATTATCAAATTCACTAAATAACAATAATAACAAAAGTATACGTTTGTTATTAAAATATAGGAGGACACGGCTTACAATAATATTTTCACAAGACAATTTAGCAGAACAAAAAACATATCACTTACTTAATTCATAAATAAACGTCAACTTCACTGGACATCTTATAAATTAATATACATATATCTTATATATATTTTCAAGAAACTAATTAAATTTATTCATATTTCATACATGTTTTCAAGAATGAGGGTATTCGTAAACTACACACCGTGAAGATTTTCAGCATCAAATTCATAACTACCCGCTAAATATATTGTAATAAAAGTACATGTTCATAATAGGAATATGTAAAAATTCTACAAATACGTTTTATAATAGGAAAATTTACAGAAACAGCAACCGAACGTTAGTTTGGTATTAAGTATTTTCCCTCTAGATGGCGGTGCTTTCAAACTTCGCAATTCACGATAACGAAATAGAATATTAAACAAAGATTATTGTACCGACTTACGATGGGGAGCAGAATAAAATATTGCTACATATTTAACTTAGCCGCCTCGACACCCTTTCTTTAGCTCGAAGGGGAAAGCGATAAAGTTAGATAATTACTATTTATGTGATGGTTGTTCAAAAACTATAATGTTATTAGGTAGTCTTCATAGTACAAGGTCTTTGTTTGATATTAAATATTCTCTAAGTCTGGAATTATAGTATGTTTACTCACCTCGCACCGTAGTTCCACGTGAGGATTTTCGATTCGAGTGACGAGGTAGTCTGCTGTGAGTTTTATTTTCTTATCGATAATCAACTTGTCCTTGAGGCGACGTCGCTTCGTTTGAGGTTCTTCCTCAAGTTCCTGGTTCATAAATTTATTTATGTAGGTACCTACTATTATCGCTTGTTCTAACATAGAAATTCCCTCTCAACCAACGATATAAAATACCCCTTCACACCAGTTGATTTTTTTCCAGAAGTCACACTGGTTATGTAGTCGCAACATTGTGGAGATTTTTAGATAATAATTAGAATCAGCCGAAGTCTCCATTGGTTTAAATAAACGCAACTTCGAAATTTTAGGTTACTCAAGTCGGACGAGTCCTCTGCCGAATGCGCCGGCTATGTGTGTAAAAGAAGATAGCGCGTAGACTTAGCCCGTCAACTACCTTTGTTTTATTTATCTATCAGTCCCCGTAGCATGAGCACCACAATTTACATTATATCACGTTTTTTATCGCGCCTAACTGTAAAACTTCATCATACCGCAGTGCTCATGCTAGGCACGCGGGCTATGCTCGCTCGGCTCGCGCTTAGATTAGGTCACAACACTAACTTAACCTTACCCACTGTGAGTTGGTCAAACGTTTATTGGTCAGTAACACAGAGGGACGTGGGACCTACTCGAACAAAAATTTGCATTATTCTCCATGCTGGGGGTACACGTAGACTCTTGTCCCCAGGCCAGAGTCTAGGTGTGCCTCTACATATCCCATACTGGCGATGTTGAAACAACTCGACTTTTTAAACACCTTAGTCGGGCAGCAGATGACGCGTAGGAACAATTTCCCCACGCAGAATTGTTTTTTTGGGGGACTTTAGTGCTCATCACATTTTGTGGTAAGTTCCTCCAAAACCGACCATGCAGGGATCTCTGATCACGCAATAGCTCTCACGCATGATTTGAAACAACTAGTTGATCTGCCCACCAGGATTTCAGCTATTCCAAGCCAAGCGCCTACATTTCTGGACATTTTGCACACGACCCATCCATATGGCTATCAGGTTGTGGTAAGAGCCCAAGCCTCCGCGTCCAGTGGTGGTCAAACGCCGTATCTGGCACTATGGGTCGGCAGATTGGGACGGTATGCGTGACTACTTTGTTTCCGTCCCTTGGAAGCAGCGCTGCTTCAGACAAGCACCTATCGGCCAGCGCCGTTGCTGTTACTGAAGAGATTGTAATGGGTATGGATGGAATACTATATTCGTCTTTCTAATCTCATCAGTAAGGGCACATGTAACACGACTGTTCTGAGGCGGTTTCGCGTAAGCAAGCGGCATATCTTGCTTGGATCAGAGGCCGCGCTCTTAAGGAAGGCCACTATTCCAGCGCGTACAAAGAAATTTGGTGATTCATTTCTTTGTCACACTATCCGTAAATGGAATGTTCCGCCCGCTCCCTCTTACAACCTGGGATCCTTTAAAAGAGGCGTGAAGAAGCAACACGCATGCCGGAGGATCGCTGGTATAGCAGTTAGAACTACTGTACCAGCTATCTTCGCGTCTGGTCTTCACCGTTACTTAACATTAAGTGGGGCGGAGTCATTTGTCCGACCAATCTATAAAAAAAAAGTTTAATGTTTGATATTTCCACAAACGGATCCCTAAACTGAAAAATTGTCTTAGCAATCCCTAAGTCGTTTTTCAGCACAATTATCTAGTATATATATTTTTTGTCTAGTCTTAATTATAAATCGTTTTCAAAATAATACAAACCTCTAGTTGAATTCCTACAGTTTGGTCTTTTGCGACTGTTTCCTCTTCCGGCCTTGTCGGTCCTTGTATGGGTATATTCTCGACAGGTGGTTCCTCAATAATTTGTCTTGAAAAATAAAGTTATTACTAAAGTTTTAGTCCTACTAACAATAACAAAGTTATTGAAAGTTTCTTAAAGATTAAAGAAAAATATTAAAATCAATGTCGTCGTTATAGGAGAAGGACTGGGAGCTGAGCAAAAAGGCCGTAGTAGTATATTTTATAAAACAAATAATTCGGTGAGAAGTTAGAAAATTTTGTAATAACAACATTGACTTTCGAGGATATAATTTCTTTGTTCAGTCGATGGACACCTAAGATAATTTGTTTATATCTAAGAGCACTTTCCATTTTCATCTCAATTCTCGAAATCATAAAGTTCAGCACGCGGATGGTTTTCTTTAACTCCCAGTCCACAATATATGGGATTAAATGAACGGGCAAAAAAGAATAGGTTAAGTTTGGTTACTAACTGCACTGGCTGAGGAACCGGCATATCGGGAGCAGGAATCTGGATTTCAGGGATTTCTAGGATATCTGTAGGATGTGGTACAAGTGTTAAAGGACGAGGTTAAACAAAAAATAGGAATGTTAAAATTTTATTAACAGCCGAGACTAGTTCACTTTGCTCAAAGATTTTTAACGTTAATGGTAGTAAGTTATAGAGTTGAAAATCGTTTGAAAACAATTAGGCCGTATATATACGCAGAAAGCTGGCTACCGGCGCCAATCTAATCCTACAAGGCACTTCTAACCTCTTTCTGTGTTCTGTGAGAAAAATATCTTCGTCTAATGTCAAGCTCATCAGAGACTGCCTGACAGTTTCTGCTTATACCCGCTTGCTTTATGTACAGGTTATCTTAACGGACCAGTACCGATGAGCGCTGACAGATCGACACCGGTAGCCAGCTTTCTATGTGTATACGGCCTTTGAATGTTTGTGGTAACCGTGCTTATAATTTACAATACAAACCTTTCTCTAAGTCAGCTATTGTAAGGCGATCGGCACCAACAGCTGAAAAAACACGTGAAATCGCTTGAATTTATAAGTCCAGTGTGGGAAAATCGGGGTACACGCAAATTTGCAAACATGCATGCAAAAATTGCGAAGCAGTACCTAGTTAAGAATATAAAGCAATACCATTGAGTTAAGAAAATACACTCCCGAACACATTTATCGCGCTTAATACGCTCTTACGACGAGAACAATAAGAGCGCGTATGCATATTCAAATAAGTCCGCACACGCAACGGTATTGCTCAATGTAACTTTATTTTTAGCTAGGGACTGTCAAAACTTAAAATGCTAGGTGGGCCGATAGATGTGTCCGGAAGTATATTATGTGATCACACAAACAAAATATCCCAATGCGAGAATTCATAGCAAGGGCGGATCCAGGGGGGGGTCATGGGGGTCATGACCCCCGCCCCCCTGGGCAGGGTACAGATGGACCAAACCCAGGGGGATTTTATTTAAGTACTTTCAATATTTAATATACCACGACTATATGACCCCCCCTGGCGCCAAAGCTGGCTATATGACCCCCCCCCCTGGCGCCAAAGCTGGCTATATGACCCCCCCCTGGCGCCAAAGCTGGATCCGCCCTTGATTCATAGGACCTTTAGAGCAAACCGCATCACTCGTCGTTCGTCAAAATACTTTTTTTTTAATCAAGCTTCAATAAAAGAAATAACAACAAGCATTAAATAAGTGAAGATGTTTCACATTTTCTGAAGATAGTTGCATCCAACTCCGCTATTGGTTCCATTTGAGCATCGTGTGCTGCGAAGCGAGTCTTGTCATGCGATTTGTCTGTAATATCGAGAGCTGCGTCCATTCCACTGTGATGGACAGATTTATCTTGAACCAGCATCATCTCTATAGTCTGATCCTTGATCAGTTGCTCTGGATTTTCGTCACCGAACCCATCCTAAAAGGAGAGTGAGGAGTAGTTAACAGCTAAAATTTCAAATCAATGTTTTCTGACACCATACTGACCACTATAAGGTATTCGCAAATGACTAATCTCTAAAACTTACATTCGGTGGTAGTAGTATTTCAGGAACAGCCGATTCTTTGAGTGTAATTTCCTCTATGTTTACAACAACATTGCCGCTGTTCTGTAAATTACCATCGGTTTAGATTCATCATTGTCATCAGATTAATCTCCCCACTGCTGGGGCACAGGCCTTCCGTATGGATAGAATAGGGAGATTTTGCCATGACCCATGGCATTTAAGAGAGGTAGGGCAAAGCGAATTTACCGATCGAACTGGAGCGCCCCTCCGGGGAAGTAACCTCCACTTGCAGAAGACAGCAGTAAAATAACACTACCTTTTGTTGGTGTTGTTTTAGTCGGTGTCAGGTTTCACGGCTCCACGTAAGCAATAGTCTGATATTTTAGGTACCGCTATTAGCTATGGTAGCCGCTTATTATCGGAAGGGAGGCTTGTTTGCCACCCTTTTAACCCCTCATGTGTGTAAGTGGATGATTTTTGCCACAAGTTGAGTTTTTTTTTTCATACTTTTCATTTTATCATATTTAGTAATGGTTTTAATTTACACATCTTATATATATAGTAAAGTTTGTAAAGAAACTATTCAGGATTGATTTAAGACATGAATGGAGCCTGGGTGTACAGTAGAACTCGAATAATCGACAACAGCTAACTAGAGCCGTGGAGTCTCAGAGACGCCCTCTAGTTGAGCCGACCCCCTCAGGTTGGAGTGGTATAGAGGCTCCAGACGGAGAGGAAACTCCCCCCGTTTAGAGATGCAATCCGCCTGGAATACCTCTAGAGGCACTCGCCAATTTAGCTAGAGGTCCCCTTAGGATCTCGCCGTCCCCAAACCCGGTGACGCTGTAAAGGTCATCTGCGACCAACAGCATACACACTCAAGAAGTGCCTTCCGAAGCACGGCGGAGCTCGAGATAATAATATTTTGGTCACCTATCCAATGACCGACCATCGCGAAAGTTGCTTAACTTTCACGATCGCATGCCGTATGCGCTAATCACCTCCTCAGTTCAGGACAGATCCAGTTTAAATCATAATACCTTACTCTACATGTACCTTCCGCTACTATATGCACGATTGGGGAAAAAGCTAAAATATCCATTAACTCCGTTGTATATTATATGTATTTGCTTAATGCAATTATATACAAATGCATAAAATCCGATGTCTAATAATAATCTTTATTTATTCAGATAGTACGGAACCAGAAAATCATCAATGTTATCATGACATGGTAAGCAAAGGTGGGCTTACCTCTAAAAGAAATCTCTTCCTGTCAACCTAGATGGTGTCAGAGATTCTAAACTTAGTGGGAAAGTGTAATAAAAAAACATAATTTACAACTATCTCAATAAGGAATAAACATAAATTACTTAGTATCTTTCCCCTTTAATAAATAAAGACTAAGTTTGGAAAAGTTACTCCATGATTTGTCTCTGTTCATTGAATGACAAAAGGCATATGGGTGACATGAACAAAACACGGTGTTACTAGTGTAAGCTTATTCCTTGTTTATTAATAAGGGGGTTAAAGTATTTTTCCTTTTTTTTTCAAATGCATAAATAAAAAAAGTGTATACAAAAACATTACATTCATTTAACAAATGTGATAAAATTGTTTTAATAATTACCCTGATGATTTCTTCAATTCTTTGTTCATTTTCTGGTTCCTCTGGGACGAGTAATGGTGCAGTTGGCAACTGAGGCAATGTACGCTGTGGCACATCTATAACCACCTCACTGATATTCCATCTGTATATTTGTAAATAAAATTAAATTTAAATAAGTACTATTTTTGAATAAAGTATAATTCAAATAGACTTATTGAAAGCTCTTTTGAAGCGTCCAATATTTTTTCCTACCACCCATTAAGAATGGGCACAAGAAACTTATCAGCATTTTTTTTCTTTGAATGATTATATGATAGAAATGTACTAAAACAATATTAATTTAAGTGCATTTGTGGACTATTAGGTATTGAAGCTAAAGGTAAAGATAGAAATGTTATCATGACATGGAAAGTATTATACGTAGGCACTTACTTTTTATTAACATGTTTTGTAACGTTAGCATTAATCATGCATAGGTCCGCTAGAAAAAAAGCAGAATATGATTAGATACTCTAAAATAAGTATATGTTTTTCTGTGATATCTAGTTTGTCATTATTAATTGGAAGAAAAGAAAACATTTTTTAAAAGATTTTGATTGGAGAGCAAAGTTGAAAGTTCTTGAAACAAATATTATGAAAGATTGGAACTTACCAAGGAATACAGTAACTTTTCGTTGATAAAGCCTTACTAAGCCTCTCATAAGTTGTGAACTAAGACGAAGCGAAAATCTACATACTGGTCGACCAGATTCATTGGTCATCACTTCCAATAAATCGTCACTAAAGCAAAGATTTATAGGTACAGAAAATTATTAGATAATATTTTTTTGCAAATATGTATGTTTCGACCAAAGAGTTTAATGTATTTGATTTCAATTCAAATTTTTTTTTAGGATATTAATAAAAGTAAAAAGCATACATACCAAATTTTACGAATATCCTGGGACCATAGTTGCCTATGAGTTATCGTAGCAAATCTTAGAGGCCAAGAATCTGCTACCCAGCACAGGTAAAATCTACCACCACGCTTTAGCGACTCGACGGGATAGAACATTTTAAATAATACGCACTTCAAATCACTTTGTTCAATTTTAATTTAAAAGAGCGAAGTGCATTAGAGTCGGGAAAAGAAGTCAAAGGGACGCCACTTTTCGCGCCATTCAGAACAATGTTATTTGTTTTTTTAATGTTTCCTTTTTTTAAGGCCATCAGGTAGACCATTCAGCCTATTCTCTTTTCCAATCTTAGCCGGCTTACTTTATTTCAGTATGAGTCATTCGATTCCAGTAACCCAGTAGGTCAAATTCCATCCATCCATCCATCCATCAGCCTTTCTCCGTCCACTGCTGGACATAGGCCTCCTCCATGGGACGCCACAATGCGCGGCAAGGGCGTACCCAGGATTTCAGCTAGGAGCAGCTCATACCTGTTTCGAGAAGATGGTCGGTCTGGTATATTGAAACAAAAAATCATGAAAATTGACTTTTATTAATTAGTTTGATTATGACACAAAACAAAATATTGGTATTGATTCTGGCATGACTCTTTAAACTTAAAACTAAATTTAAGATCAGTCTCTCCTGTTCGTTCTGTATAGAGAATGACAAGGATACACTGTTGTCAAATTGAAGTTTAAGTTTAGAGAATCATGCCAGAATCGACACCATTAAATATATATAATAATCATAATACACATATATTAATTTAAAAGTAATCTTCTCGGATTTGCCGCCGAAAATTTGTCTAAGACAGTCTTTTGAATAAACTTACTGTTTTCTTTTAAATAATTGCGATGTACGCTCATCAGACATAAACCCGTAAGCCTTTCTTCACCCATGGTGCTTCCAAGCCACGTTTTAACTCTTCGAAACGTACTGAAGGTTCTACGGTCGCCGTGGTGTATGGGATAGTGCTTAAAATAATCAATGCCTTTCTGACAGCAGGGTAAAAAATATTGGCTTCGTTGAACAGATCAACTACTTCTATATCCCTTAATTGATCATCTGATAAAGCATTCTTCATCCATAAATTATGCAAAAGGTTCAGTTCTCCAGTGATATCCAGGTTATAAAATTATTGGAATGATTCTGCGTTCTTGTGTAAGTCTTTAATGCTGGTTTTGGTCATATACAAGGGATGTAGCTTACTTAAAGCAAACGCCGGAGTATTTTCTTGGGAAAATCGAATATTGAACGATGAAATGAGTGAATCAATGTATGGTATTATCAGAGAACGCCGCCAATATTCGTTATCATTGTCAGATGGCGGATTACTTCTATGTGTTTGCTTATGAGCAAGACGTGGAACCGAAATTTCTATGTTCAAATCCATTGCAACAGCTGGCGCTTTTTGAAGCATTTCATTACTTATTTTATCAGGAAACTCGCGGTCATTTCTGAGAATGTCCTTGATATTTTTGATGTGTTCCCCCACCGAGATCATGTCGATCGATTTAGCTCGCAGTGCGTTAACTAGTAGTTCTAAAACTGCTGAATATTTGGCTATTGTTTGTAGAGCAACAATAAACACTGGTTTTGTAACGGCTGAATGCAACTGATATGCAGATTTTCTGGTGGCATAATTTCCCTCTATGGATAACGTTTCTAGAGATTTCACAAGTTCTGGAAAATGTTGAGAAAACTTTCTGATTGATTTATATTTTTCGGACCATCTCGTCTCACACAATCGTGATAGGTTTGGAGCGTAGTTTCGACGAGTAGTCGATTCTCTGAAAAACGTTATAACATCCTTAACAGTGGCGACAGTATTTCTAATTTCTGGCACTGCGTTCGCATCATTCACAACAAGGTTGAGTTTGTGACTTGAGCAATGAAAATATAAAGCACGAGGATATTTTTTTCTCAAAATGGCTTGTACGCCACCCACTTTCCCTGCCATTGTAGAACAGCCATCGAATCCAAACCCTACGCAATCTTCTGTTGGGAGGTTAGAACTATTCAAGAAATTGTCAATTACTGAAGCATTTTGTGCTTTTAGTTCAACGAATCCTACAAATTCTTCTCTGATTTTCCTTTTGCTTTCGTCGTAGAACCGCACGCCTATTGATAACTGTTCTTTCCCAGCTACGTCTACTGTTTCATCAGCTAAGACTGCGTAAGCCATGGTCTTCTGAACCTCACTTATCATATTCTCCTTAACTTCGCCACATAAATTAATCAATTCGTTTTGTATTTTTGGCGATGTGTAAACTGCATTGCGACGGCACTTTTCCAGGTGACTCTTTAATTTGTCGTCCCCTGAATTGATTCTCAACTTTAATAAATCTAATAAAACGCCCTCATCTGCTTGTTTTCCCCTAAGAGGCATATCATGTGTACCGCAAAATACTACACAAGAAATAATTGATGACAATATTTGTCTGTTTTCATCGATTGTTTTTTGGTGTCCACTTTGCAGTTGGATGTCTACAGGAACATTTTCAAGATTTTTTTTGCAGCATTTGTCGCTGTTAGGTGAAGGTTGGTCGTTGCATGCTTTCGGCAGTCTTCATGCATATTTTTGAACTTTATATATGGCCTGACCATAAATGATCCCAAAATTCCTCTCACAGTGCTGATGGGCGGAGAGAACAAAACACAATGCTTACAAAGAGCGCCTTTTAGTCGCTTGGAATATACTAGCCATGGTGCATATTGATCCAACCAAGCATTATTAAATTTCCTTTTCAAATGGCTTGCATCACTTTCAAAATCATAATTTCTGGGCGGGATCCAAGGATGTTGTAACAACTCCCTTTTCTTTTCCGTCGATAGCTGAGTAGCCAACCCAACATAACGACCCAGATCATTTTCATGATAGCCATCGTCCACTATAATTTCAGTATCGACGTTGACGTCATAAGTTTGCTGGGATGTCGATGGAGAAGAATAATCGGCAACAGATATATTTACAGGTTCTGCTGGAGAATGTGACGCTTGTCCAATGTTAGCATGCAATGATCTTGGCATTACATGGGTTTTATCATGGTTGTCATTTTCATCGCTTCCTCCACTGCTACTATCCCGACCTTTTTTCTTTTTTCCCGTGTTGTCCCTAAAAAAAGGATACACAAACATGTACGTATGTATGTAAAATTATGTACCACGTTTTTAAAGCGGACTAAACAGTATAAAATAATATTTTCTAATGCTGTATAAATTGATCTAAGCATTTTAAATTATAATTAAGCATAAAAAGTAGCAGTCAATAAGAAAGCTCTTCTAACATGAGATTTCTCAACGACTGATACTTTTTACACTTTTTATCATTACCTATCTTATTTTTTTTTCTTGCATCCCACGTTTTTCGTTAGACTTTTTAGTCCGTTTTAAAAATGTGGTAAGTATATTAAAAAAAACAGCTTTTTAGTCATAAAAAATGTGTATTTTTTTTAAACTTTCAAACAAACAAACAAGCAAACAAACAGACAGACAAGAAAACATACAATATTGTATTATCATCCACTTCTGACCACAGTCAAAACTTCAAGTCTCTAGCTCATCGGGAAGTTAGTTTAAAATCAATTGAAAGATTTGTACCGAACAGACAAATAGACAAGAAAACAATCTAATATTGTATTGTCATCCACTTCTGGCCTTCAGTCAAAATTTCAAGTCTCTAGCTCATCGGGAGATCGGGAAGTTAGTTTAAAATCAATTGCCAGATTTGTACCGAACAGACAAACAGACAAGAAACGGACCTAATAAAAACGTGGTAATAAATAAAGATTAAGATACCTATAAGAAGTTCTTGTTGTTCTTATTAAGAACATCACATTCAAGTTTCAATTACTTCCTATACACTTACAAGAGAGCCCCCCTTATACAAATCAAATAATCATATTAGGTACATACATATGTGTTTTGTTTTGACTCACCTTTTCAAAGAAATTCCTGATATCAACTAAACTATAAGACACTATTATGGCGCATTAAATATTCGCTCGTATTAAACTCCTAACTAAGTTGAATTGTATTCGAAATTTCGAACTGAATTGCCTTGCTCTGCCTCACGATCGCGCTTATATATTCAAATATTCTCGCTCCCGAAATACGTAGAAAATACTCGACTCTGTTGCCATCCTTGTCTCATACTTGCTATCACTGTCTTTACTTTCCAGAATAGTCCATGCTAGAACGTTCTTCTTTACTGGAAAAAGCACTGTCGAGTGTCGTCGTCCGTAACTGGATAGCGCTAGACGTTGTTTTCTCCAAATTATATTCGGCTTTAATCCTAGATGTCTCTGATTATCTCGTCGGGAGCGGAAACTACGAGATACGACGGTTTCGCGGGAGATATAAATTATATTGCGTCGCTATTATATCGAATGTTGTAGAATATTTAATTACAGATAATAAAAAAAATATCTGACTGAAAAGATGTTTTGTTTCCAACACTTCATTTTGCGCAGAGTAGGTAACACGTTTTTAATTCCCACTTGCCAGGAAAATTGACGTTTATTTTATCTTGCCCCTAGTTGAGACAGTGACAGGCAACAGTGTTCTGGGGCGCCAATTTTAAACTACGCCCTGTCCTCTAGGGTCAAAGATATTTGTTTTCGCAATAAGTTTTAAAATCGTAAATGGAATAGAAACTCTTTTTATTACGTATCATCATCAAATCGACCTTATCGTTTTGCAATGGTTTTATGAATAAGCTTGGTGGGTCAAAATCAGAAATCAAATGGGCTACTGGTATCGATTCCAGAATGATTCTGTAAACCTAAACTTAAATTTGGCAACAGTGGTGTCGATTCTGATATGATTCTCTAAACTTAAAACTAAATTAAACATCACTGGTTTCGATTCTGGCATGATTCTCTAAAGCTAAACTTAAATTTGACAGCAGTGTATCCTTGTCATTCTCTATACAGAATGAAAAGGACAGACTGATGTTAAATTTAGTTTTAAGTTTAGAGAATCCTGCCAGAATCGACACCAGTCTCTCCTTTTCATTCTGTATAGAGAATGACAAGGATATACTGTTGTCAAATTTAAGTTTAGTTTTAGAGAATCATGCCAGAATCGACACCATTGTATCCTTGTCATTCTACATACAGAATGAAAAGGAGGGACTGATGTTAAATTTAGTTTTAAATTAGAGAATCACGCCAGAATAGACATCACTAGCTTCCTCCCATGCGCGACGGTGTCCTCTTTAACTGCGTGAAGCTTAATAATTTTGATATATAACATCTTGCCACTCGCTTTCCTGCAATTTGTGAGAGTGATTTCGTGAAATGGGACTATTACTATTTCTATTTATTTATTAGAGATGCAAATACAAAATACCAATTAATGAATATCAACATAATATGTCTAATAATTTATTATCAACTAAAATTAAACAATTTATGGAAACCAGAATCAATACTTGAAACCACAACAGGGTCATTAACTTTGTAAATGCTATATACTGCATACAGTTAAAACATACACTTTATTGGCAATGGTAATTTACACAGACATCAATAGAACTTATTTGAAATAGTTAAATTCCTTTCCAGCTTGTTTCATAGCTTCCTGTAATCTATCCAAACAGTTTTTGTTGAAATTTTCTGCTGTCAATCCAGAATTTATCGCTCGGCTCAAAGCATTCTCTGCCTCTTCAACTTTGTTATTCATCAGGTACAAATTAATCAGGCGAGAGTATGCATTACCAAATGAACCCTTGCTCACTTGTGGGTTTGATTTGAGAGTTTCAATGAGCTTTTCTACGACCTGTGGTTCATTTCTGGAATGACTTTCTTGAAGCAATCTTCTAAATAGAACAGTGGAAGCTCCGCTCAACCATTGATTCCAGACAGTGTTAGCCTCCTTTTCTTTTCCGGCCAATACATATTCCATCCAGAGTAAGTTGATAGGAATACTAAAACCTTGAGACGCGACTATTTCGGCAAGTCTTTGACCTGTAACGATTAAAAATAAATAATAAAATACTCAAATTTTTGAACTGGGTTAAAGCAGTCTTGCAAACACAGAAGAAAAGGAGTTCTGAACTCTTTACGACTACAATAATGAAAAAACTCCCTTTAAACCCATACAGATGATCAGGTGTGCGTAAAAAACAGTAAATAAATTTAATTCAATATGCTCACATTGGATTTAAAAAAAGATAAAAATGCCAATTTTCGATAACCTTTGCAGGTTAGAAGTGTTTCAACCTGTTTTTTGATAAAGTGGACGAAAAATTCATCATTGCAAATGAAATCCTGAACTTTTCGTTTGTTCGTAGCTTATTTTGAATTCAACCCATCAGTCTCTGGCTTCTGGGTGCCATTAATAAACCAGGCTAAGCAAATAGATAACTAGCCGTACTGTTGTTATATGGGTTGCAGAAAATTACTCCCGTAAGACATTCTGTTCCTCTCGCTGTCCCTAGTAATGTCTATGAATGTCTTGCGTTGGCATTTTCGATTCGTTTCTTTAGTGGCACGAGTTATGAGCATTCTCATTTTTGACAGTTCTTACTTTAGCTGATCAGGCAAACAATGGTGTCGATTCTGGCATGAATCTCTAAACTTAAAACTAAATTTAATAACATCCTTTTCATTCCGTATAGAGAATGGCAGGGATACACTGTTGTCAAATTTAAGTTTAGGTTTAGAGAATCATGTCAGAATCAACAGCAGTGTGCAACTATAGACATCCCTACATTACCGGCAACCAAGAAACAACACCACCAAAAGTATATACTCATACTATCTTTTAATCTCCATCTTACAGAAGACTAAACGTCGTATTTATAAACAAGTAAAAGACATCACTCCTGCTTAACTAATGATTAAGCAACATTTTTGACATCATACTTAAGAAATTGATCAAAGTAAGAAATGTCAAAAATGAGAATTCTTTGGAACTAGTGTTCCACTAGCGAAATGAATCGAAAAAACCGTCGCAAGCCATTCTGTCTGTCTCGCACGTTAGGACAACATGTGCGAGAGGGACAGAACGTCTTACGTTGTCATTTGCGATTCGTTTTTTTATTGCCGCGAAATAATAGTGACCTTTTTCGTTCCTATGTAACCATTAGTTTTATTGAAGAATTTTGTGTCAAATAATGACTTGGTTACTTAGCAACAAGCAATTACTTGTTTATAAATATGAGAGTAAAAGTTTTAGCCCACACTTGAAATAACAGATATAACCTATCTAACCTTTCGCGGCGTAGCTAGAAAAGTTTCCCCCCAAATAAAAGGTTCGAAAGCAGTCCATAATCACTATAGTGTTTCTGAACAACATTTTAAAACTATACAATGAACTGCGACACTATTTATCGGGTCAAATTATTACTTACATTTGGCAATGAGTTCATTGTTTTCAACAACAGATGCCAATGCAATGCTTCTTGGGAATTTTTGAACAATTGTTTTTATATTTTCTGGGCTAGGTTCTGTTTCAGCAATTTTCAACAAATTATCAATGTGTTCAGCTGCATTGCCTTTTTTGAAAGTAGCAAGTGTCAATTTGTCATCGTATGTAATAAGTCTTCTTAGAGAGTCTGATGCATATTCACCTAATACCTGTATCTTTTCAAGCTCGCCTTCTTCAGCAAGGTTTTTAAGCAAATACTTTAGTACTGTAGTTTTAGGGTATACACCTTCTTGTATGGATTTTATTGTTAATTCAAATGCTTTTACAATATTTTTATTCTCATTGATTAGAGTCTCTATTTTGGTGCTTAATTCTTTCTTGATAGACGGAGTGGATGAATTTTTGTCAATGTCTTTTTCTATGAGTTTTTCTTTTAATTGTGTTTTTACTTGTTTTGGTTTCTCTTCTTCAGGCATAATAAACGGTACATCTCTGTTCTGCTGCTTGAGGTGTTTTCCGAGGTGTAAAAGGAATTGGTCGCTAGGAATTTCACCCTCCTCTTGAAGCAGTGTCCACAAACCTATAGCTTTATCAGTCTCGCCAGCCTTGCAGTAAGACCTTAGCAAATGGTAGAATATGTTTGACCTGTCTATATGTGATAGTTCTTTAGTAGCTTCTAGTAGTCCTTCCAAGTATTCCGGTTTTCCCTCCTAGATTGGAATAAAGTATATTGATTATAATCTCGTCTTTAGTTTTCTTTACTATAAATCATAAATAAAAGACGAAATATTTTAAATGGCTATTTGTGTGTGCACTTTTATACTCAAGCATCAACTTGTAATAGTTATGTAGGAAATTAAAAAAATATAAAACACCAAATTCAATCTAAGTCTAAAGGACCTTATTAATATTTGTTCATTTGACAGCAGTATATCCTTTTCATTATCCATGAAATGAAAAGCAAAGACTACTATCCAATTTACATTAAACATAGCAAATATAATAGCTTTGTGAAGTGCCAACATCAGACTAGATTAAATTGTTAGAAGAATTACTAGAATAGGGGTGATGATAGGGTAAAGCAAATCGAAATTCTATAGTCTATCAGTTAGATTAAAAAAAATAATGGACACTTATTTTTTATTTTGCCAATCAACCAACAATTTACAAAGATAAAGTTCGGGAGTGACGTCACTTCTAAGTAGAAATTGTACAAAGACGTGGCGGCAAGCGATATTTCAAATCAATGTATTTGTAACGTTTTGATTATGTTAATAAAGAAGAAAAAGCGTGTCCAATAATTTTGATTAATCTGCCTGAAGATACACAATAAAAAAAAAGTTAAGTCATCACCCTGTTGATTGAATTTGATTTTAACATTTCTAAGTAAATACCTCCACATATCGCTGGCAAGCATCTTCTAAACGCCTCTGGCGCGTGTGCATGCCGGGAGTTTCGAGAATACGCCGCGCTTGACGCAAACGCCCGCATTCGACGAATGCGAGCACTAAATCATGCAGAATGTTCACCTCGCCATGTATCTGAATTGGACAAAATCTCAATTTAATATAACTAGCGGATCACCCCAGCTTTGCACGGGTAAAGTTTTCAGCTTGACGCAAAAGACCGCATTGGAGGAATGCGAGCATTAAATCATGCAGAATTTTCACCTCGCCATGTATCTGAATTGGAAAAAATCTCAATTAAATATAACTAGCGGATCACCCCAGCTTTACACAGGCAAAGTTTTGAGAATACTTAGCGCTTGACGCAAATGACCGCATTCGACGAATCATTATCATCATCATCAGCCTATTAATGTCCTCACTGCTGGGGCACAGGCCTCCCCTAAGGATGGAATAGGGAGATTGGGCCATGACCCACTACACGGGCCCAGTGCGGAGTGGCGGGTGCTAACGACTGCAGATGCAGCCGGCACCAACGGCTTAACGTACCTTCCGAAGCACGGAGGAACTCGAGATAGTAAATTTTTGGTCACCCATCCAATGACCGACCACTGCGAAAGTTGCTTAACTTCAACGATCGCAGCCGAACGCGCTAATCACTTGCGCCATCGAGCTCCTCTATTACACGAATGTGAGCACTAAATCATGCAAAATATTCACCTCGCCATGTATCTGAATTTGACAAAATCTAAATTTTTTTTTTAATTGTAAGCATTTATCTGCTAGATTTATAAACCAAAATCAAATCTTACTAGAAAAAATTGCCAACAGATGGGATTCGAACCAGCACCATCTGCAATCTCAGCAAACACAGTGACGAAATATGTTACCGAGGCTTTAAAGGTTCAATTTAATTAATAGCAGGTCACTAGCGGATCACACCGGCTCTGTGACATTTAAGTTAACGTGACCAAATATAGCCTATGTTACTCAGGAATAATGTTATATACTAACGGTGGAATATTCTTGAAATTTGGTTTATTATTCCTCCTAATAATATTAGTATTGATGAGTAGACCCAGCAGACTTTGTACTACCTGATTAAAATATGTCGGGAATCCTTAATTAAATTCTAGTGCCACCTATCGTGAAGCGTAATATGTTAAGTAAAGTTTTCTTACATTAAATAAATTCTGTGCAACTTTCTTGTTTTTAGGACAATATATTTTCCCTACCACTCGTTATGGACATTTTTTTGCTGCAGAGAAAAATGAGCGAAAAAAACTCCACAACATTAAGTCTAATGTAATAACATTTACAAATCATTATGTTGTTACAACGTCAATACAATTATGATTTATTTAATATAGAAAAAACCTGTTGGAATGATGGGAACAGTTCAAACCCCAAGCATTTTGTCTGTAATATTATCAGACACTTTGTAATAAGCCTTTTTAATATTTTTTTTATAATATCTTTAAATTTATTTATGGTTAACTCTTGGATATTGCTTGGGACTTTATTGTATAAGCGAATACAAAGACCTTTAAATGAATGAAATAAATGCATATTGGTTGGTATGTTTTGGTTATTTTTGGTGTTATATTGTGAGCCAGTAAACTATTATTTGTTTAAACTAATGTTAAATAAGAATATAAATAGGAACTAATAAGAATATAAATAGGAACTAAGGTGTCCCTAATGATGATCATACTAGAAATCTTGTTAGAGCTGTCTATATACCTGTGTGCTAAGATCGGCCAACCACTGAAGTTTGCTGGCATCCTCTTTCATAATGAGTGCTTTCATAAGTTCTCCTTTCCAAGGAGTAGACCTGTATTGATTACAGCAATGTTCAAACTGCTTTAGGCCTCCATCTATGTCCCCTTTTAGCAAAAATACTTTGATTGACGGGCCCAAAATCACGTTTGAAGGCTCCACATAATTCTTCTCAACTAAAGTTTGAATCAACTGTAACACCTAAAACAAAGAATAGGACAGAAGAATTGGATATGTTTTGTTAACTTGTTTTATAAAAAGGCATTAAAGAAATAATACAATTGAATTTACCTTTGCTTCATCTTTCTGTTCAGCTAAATAATTTAACAGCTGCCAACATTTAGAATTCAAAACAAAATTATTTTCTAAATCTTCCGTTGGTTGATTATCTTGTAAAAATTGTATGGCCTCATCGAATTTATTAGCTTTAATTAAAGCATTTGCCATTAGGAATAGTTTATATTTGCTTAGGACAAAATCAGGGTTCTTAGCCTTTATTTCAGCTTGACACTCTTTGGCTTTTTCAATATTACCATTGACACAATAAAATTCATAGAGCTGAGCGAGAGTGGCTAGGTTTATTTCGAAATTTGATGCTTTCAGCTCTTGCAAGTAACTGTCCAATTTAGTAACATTATTCTCTTTTATGTATGAAGACAGCAATTGTTTTTGGATACGTAAAATATTGTTTCCTCCTTTAGTTTTGATTTGCTGTAGAAGGTGCTCAAGCTGGGCAGATGTATAGTAAGCATTCTCTCGTCTTCGATTTTCAAGAGGAGTTACTTCTAAATCTGTTGATGTCAGTTGAGTAAGAAGCTCTGAGATTTTAGTAGTCATATTTTTATCAAGAAATTGTTGTATGACTTCTGCCGATTCTGTATCAATACTTATTCCTCTTGAATGCAAAGCAGTTAGTAGAGATTCAATTAAATTATTTTCTGATAACATTTTCACTGCTGTTTTGACTAACCTTCCTATTTCATAAATATCACCCTTTTCATCTGAATGGTCATCATTTGATATATCTTCTTCTCTACCTGAGACTGGTTTACTGGTCATCACATGTAATATTGAGACAAACGAACCTATATCTTTTGTTTTATTTAATGCATTAAGCAAAGACCGTGCTACCAAGTTGTACTGTCCTCTAAGACGGTATTGCAGAGCTATTTCTTCAGCTGCTTTAATTTTTCCTGAGTCTAAAAGCTCTATCATTAAATTTCTGGCACTAAGTATTACTGGCACATTGGCAAGTTGCAACTTTAAAATAATGTTTTGTGGTGAGTCTTTTTTCCTCAAGTATGGAATAACATAATCTCGCAGAGTCTCTCCAGTTGGTGTTTGTCCGGCACCAACCATATTGCGCAGTACTTGAAGCATTCCTTCTTCATCACCTTCTTTGCCCTTTTGAACCAACAAAGGCCAGTAATAGTGTTGTCTTATCTCGATTCCTTCTTTCTCAATTTCTTTAAAAAGCTTTTGGGCCATTTCTACATGACCTATTTGCAGAGCAGTTTCTGTAGCAATGAAAAAAGAATTAGGCACCAAGTTTTCTTCTTGTAACTCTCTACATGTTTTAATCACCTTTTCAGGGTCTTTACAAACTTTTAACAGCTGTTTTACAAAAAAGGCTCCTTTGAATATTGTGTCATCAATTGTTAATGATTTTGGCATTGTCTTCATAACTGCTTTAGCAGTTTCTATGTGTCCTTTGTTCAGTAATCTAAGAATAAGATTATATACATCTTGATTATATCCAAGTCCCTTTTGTATGTGACTGAATAACTGTTCTGCTTTATCTCCATGTCCACCATAAGCAAGGTGCTCTATAATTTCTAAAATGTCCTGAGAAAAAAAAATACAGTTGTAACAATAATGTTATGTACCAAGTTTTTTATGTCAGTAAAAATATTGTCACTGTAGTTTCTTACCTTATCAGTCATATATGCATCTTTCTCTGTTGCGAGTTTGATAACTTCATTCACTCCATCAATATCACCTTGCTTTGCATAACCACATGCTAATAATGTGTAAGTACGGTTTGAAGGTTGTAACCCTGCTCCTGCCATTGTTTCTAGGACAGCTTTTGCACCCTCAGTGTCACCATGGAAAGCATGACCCATAACCAAAGCATTGAGCACAGGTTCCGAAACTGGTAGATTTAACTCTCTCATTCTCTCTAGAACTTTAGTTGCACCTTCAACATCACCATCTTGGCAATATCGCCACATTAATCTTTGATATGTTACCCTGGAATATATCACAGAATTAAAATCAAGTAAATGTAATGTGTGTAATATTCTTTCAGATCTGATTAACATTTACTCATAAAATTGAGTGTTTGTATATCAAATAATTTATTCTATACAGTATTATATATAATTATTACAGTATAATAATGTGGAAGCTAAAAACCATTTATTTTATGTATGGCCAAAAGTGTAGCTTACAGCTTTGGTAAAATAATTACCTATTAGGCTGCAGGCCTTTTTTCTCCAACTCTTCAAGGATCTTAGCAGGGGAGAAAGGATGCTCATTCTCAATGTAGACTCTTAACAATGCATTGTAATGGGATATATCCATAGGAATGCCCCTTTCATTAAGAACATTCCATATATTTTGGACAAGTAAAGTTCTTTGTTCTGGTAATTCTTCTGGTACAAGTTCTCCTGTAATAGTACAGTTTTACTAATGTAATTTTTAAATTAGGGTTAAAAAATATCTAATTTTTAAAACAAATACAGAGGCAATAGAGAAAATGAAAAATCTTTATATTTTTGGCTATAAGTATAAATATTAAGACAAGTATATACCTAAAATGTATAAATCAGCTGAAATATATAATATTATCTATTACTAACCACAACATCTGATCACAAGTAGAGATTGTGAACTTGTGATATCATGTTTGGATCGAATTTCATCAAACACTTCATCTATGTCGCGTTTTGAAATTCGTCCATACCTTCGCACTTCTGAGTCCAGACGTTGAAGTAGGGGCTCCAATTGCTCTTTTCCAATTTCCTTCTTTGAAGTGGAGTAATCTCGCATGGGGACACTAGGAAAATTCGAATTCGAATAGTAAGTATATTATAAAAAAAAAAAATGGTTGCCTGTAAAGTCGGTTTTACGGGCGAAGATTTTACGTGACAACGTCTTTTTCTCGGTAGAATATTTATTGATATGAATATAATTAAATTGCACAATAGGAACAAGGAATTGAATGAAAATAAGAATTGCACAAATTTTAACTATAGAAATATATTTTGTTTACTAAAACATTGTACATGTAAACTTAAACTTAACACGAGAGACTCATCGTAACGTTACCGAGCGTTACACTTTTTCATAAGTGACTCCCAGCCGCAACCTAATTTAAGACGTTGTCACGTCAATAAGTTATAATGTATACAGAATAAGTACTCACTTGTTTGCTGCACATAACGTCTTAGGATTAATCAAAGAAGAAGTGTTCTCTGTAGTCTTTGCGGCATTAAGTATCAGAGTCCGTGCTGCACCAGTGAAATATCGAACAAATTTTGTAGACCTCAGGAGCGATGACATCTTGTTTTCTGCACTTAGTAAGAAGATTTATTAATTTTATCATGTAAAAATATTACTTTTAATTAGATTCTTAGCATAACATTGTGAGGATTATTTCAAAACTAAGGGTGAACTTTTAGGTTAGCTATTATGTCATTCAATAAAATGCACTAGTGCACCACAGATTACAAAAAAAGAAAAAGGCACAGACTACTTAGCTAAAGGGATTTGCTACATTTTTATTGTATATTTTTTCTATGAAGTAAGGTAAAGGGTACAAAGCTAAGAAATCCTAAAGAAATCACACACCATCATGGCACGGACGAACTAGGGTAGATTAGTTTCGGTTGAATATCGTTCTATAATGCTCTTAAATAGGGTTTGAATGATGTCAATTCAGGCATGATTCTCTAAAGCCAAACTTAAATTTAGCAACCGTGTATCTTTGTCATTCTCTATACAGAATGAAAAGGCCAGACTGATGTTAAATTTAGTTTTAAGTTTATAGAATCCTGCCAGAATCGACACCATTGGGCCCAATTCTGGCGTGCCAACTTATATATTTTTTTTTTATAGATAGGTCCGACAAATGACTCCACCCCACCTGATGTTAAGTGAAGGTGAAGTCCAGACGTGACGATAGCTGATACAGCAGTTTTACCTGCCACACCAGCCATCTTCACCCTACCGGCCTGCATGTTGCTTCTTCACGCCTCTTTTAAAGGATCCCAGGTTGTAAGAGGGAGGGAACACGTGAGCGGGCAGAGCATTCCATTTACGGATAGTGCGACAAAGAAATGAGTCACCAAATTTCTTTGTACGCGTTGGAATTGTGGCCACAGTTAGACGATGACAACGTAGGCCAGCGCGCGTGGTCCTCTGAAGGAAAAAAGAAGGTGGGATAAGAGAGAATAACTCCTCAGAACACTTGCCGTGGTACAGACGATAGAACGCGCTTAGTGACGCCACGTCACGGCGTAATTGAAGAGGCTCAAGGTGTTTAGTCACCTCCTCATCGCCTATGATGCGGATCGCGCGTCGCTGTAACCTATCCAAAGCATCGAGCAAGTACTTGGCGGAGCCATCCCAGAGGTGCGAGCAATATTCCACGCAGGACCGCACTTGCGTTTTGTACAACAAGCACAGTTGATCGGGCGTGAAAAAACGCCGCACCTTGTTCAGGACTCCGAGTTTGCGTGAAGCTGTTTTGATCACGGTTTCGATGTAGTTCTTTGGATTCAGGTCTGAGCGAACTTTCATACCGAGCATGGAAATGTTGCTCTGCAGCGGTAGTGTTGTGCCCTGAAGAGATGGAAGGGGAAGGAATGACGATGTTTTTGCCGTGAAAGCGCAAGCCTGAGTTTTCTTGGCATTGAACTCAACCAAGTTCCTGGTACCCCATTCGGAGATGTGGTCCAAAGCCTGATTGAGTTCAATGACAAGATTCTCGCGTTTCTCCTTGGTTACCGCCAGCCCAGCCGCTGCTTGTCCGAGATACCCCGCATGCACTGTACTATCGTCTGCATAGTTAAGGTTGGATATGGGTTTATTTCGTTAAAAAAGCCATAAATTTCATACAATAATGAACGACGACGGTGCTAATATTATATTAGCTATCTCTTTTATTTTTTTTTAAAAGCTAGGTAAGTCTATGTTACGATGCGGATTTATTATGAGCCTAAATGTGTCATGAGTCACTACGCAGGCCTAATGCAGCTTAAGCTAATGACTGCAGATGCAGCGAGCAGCAACATAGAAACTCGAATTAATACATTTTTGGTTGGTCACCCATCCTAAGATCGGCCATTGTGAAAGTTGCTTAACTTCACGATCGCAGAACGAACGCGTTACACTTGCGTTATTGTGGTCCTTCGTAGGTAATGTATACGTATATCTTGTATAAAATACTAAATAATTTAAGGTCAAATCTTTTTTAACATAAATAAAAATCCACTTCATATAAAAAACAAGCTAAAGAGGTAAGATATCTATGTGCTAAAAATCATTTTATAGTATACAAAAACTTTATTTAGAGAAACAATTTGTAAATGTGCAGTTAGTAAAATTAGTGATAGGTATCTTCATTAAAAGCATCTGGCAATGGTTCTTTATGTGACCATTTCTTTCTTTGGCCGGCCTTGCCTGTTTTCCCAGGAGTTTCAAACTTTCCATCATTCTTAAAACTATCCGACTCTGATTTTCCTGAAAAAAAAAAGTAAAAAAATATGTAACGGAATAGAAACAATAACTTATTGACATGAAGCAATTAATTCAAAATTGGTAGAAAACCTGACCGAGTTGAACCTAATAACGTAATGGTGGTCGTACTACAATATTACCTATTTACAATGTCAATCTAACCTAAAAATGTGCAATGTACACAATGCCTTTTTTGGTCTCAAAATCGTAAATTAAGTAAATTTGTAACTTCAGGCAGATTACAAACAAATAGTTACACGATTACCCGTCATAGATGCTGTTCGCCCATAAACATCATCCAAATCCCACAAAATTCGTCCAGCTTGGTAGTCTTCGAAACATCGCTGGAAAACTTTAAAATCACTTCCCGCGTGCCACTCCGATTTACTTTACTCATTTTTATACCTTTCTGCGTAGTTTCGTCTTAATTTATTACAGTTTAATCCAAACAATAAAAAATACAAAAGGAAAACTGTTCCACAACTGAAACTTGATGACAGCTGATGTATATTTGTCACAGACTAGTTAGAGATACTACGTATATATTTGTACATAAGTTTGGTGTTGCCAGACACATGAATAATGTTAGTTCCTCAAACATTCATGTCACGACTTTATAGACAAACTACTATATGTCCATGGTTAGGATCGTAAGAAAAGTATCGAGTACTCAGATTTATCTGTTGATTCTCTTGTCCGGGGAAAAACAGATATAAAAAAAAACTTGTCCGGATATCGTCTATTTTCTAATGCCGGCACTTCACATAGCTATCGTATATCCTGTTTCTAAAATTGACAACAGTCTGTACTACTTACTCCTTTTAAATTAAAGGAACAACTTGCTGTCAAAATGACAAACTGCAAACAAATAGTTATGTGAAGTGCCGGCATAGGATAGTTTTATGGTATTACATAACCTAACCTTAGATACTATTAAATAATGAAATTGTAAAGTGTTGTCTTGTGCCGGGTGCATAAATTATTTTTCACATCTTCATTAGTGGTTTAGTTCAGTAGTTAAAACTGTGATTCAAAGGTTGAAGCATTACTCACGCGGTTTTGATCAATTCCCGTTTAGCATCTGTAAAGTAAATTTTGAGCAAATAAAAATGGTAAGAAATTAAATATTTTTTATGTGTGACCTTAGATTGACCTCTAAAAAGACTCGTAAAATTGTTATTTCCTTTTTAAATAGGCAATGGTTAATAGATATTGCAACTAGAACAATTGTTTTCCAGACTAACTAGACTAAGTTTACTAAAAGGATTTAAATCTACGAATTTTGATTGATATTATTAATGAAAGAAATCTTACAGGTTTAATTATTTTTATCTTGCCGATAATCATTTACGTCGTCCATAACAATGATCACTATTTCGATTTGTGTCTATCTAATCTCAATAGTTAGTTTTAATCGGTCATTATGTTGTGTGGCTGTTGCGCATCTACATCTTGGTCTTCAACCTCGGAAATAGTCCGTGTTGAAGTTAAATCTACTATCATGGTATACATACATAGTTGCTTGTATCCAATAACAAAGATTATAATTACTTTTTTTACTTTAATCTGATATTTTTTGCTCTTTTCAGGCTGCACCTATTAAAGTAGTTATTACTGGTGCCGCGGGACAAATTGCATACTCCCTGGTGTACCAAGTGGCATCAGGAGCTGTGTTTGGTCCTGAACAACCTGTATTCTTACATTTACTGGATATTGCACCCATGATGGGGGTCTTGGAAGGTGTAGTAATGGAGCTTGCTGACTGTGCATTACCTCTTCTTGCTGGAGTGCTCCCCACAGCCAATCCAGAAGAGGCATTCAAAGATGTTGCTGCTGCTTTCCTTGTAGGTGCCATGCCCAGAAGAGAAGGTATGGAGCGCAAAGACCTACTGTCTGCCAATGTACGTATATTTAAGGAACAAGGACAAGCTCTTGACAAAGTTGCTCGCAAGGATGTCAAAGTACTAGTTGTTGGTAATCCAGCCAACACAAACGCATTGATTTGCTCTAAATATGCACCCTCAATACCTAAGGAAAACTTCACTGCCATGACTCGTCTTGACCAAAATCGTGCACAATCTCAACTGGCTGCTAAACTTGGTGTTCCGGTTTATGATGTAAAGAATGTAGTAATTTGGGGTAACCACTCCTCAACTCAGTTTCCTGATCCCTCCAATGCAGTAGTAAAGATTGGAGGTGTTGAGAAATCTGTACCTGCAGCTGTTAAGGATGATGAATATTTGAAGACCAGCTTTGTAACGACAGTTCAAAAGCGTGGTGCAGCTGTGATTGCTGCAAGAAAAATGTCATCGGCATTGTCAGCCGCCAAAGCAGCTTCAGATCATATGAAGGACTGGTTTTTGGGATCTGCAGATCGTTGGGTAAGCATGGGTGTTATCTCTGATGGATCATATGGTACACCCCGTGATGTAGTTTTCTCCTTCCCGGTAACTGTTAGTAATGGAAAATGGAAGATTGTTGAAGGTCTGACCATCTCAGATTTTGCACGTCAGATGCTGGATGCAACGGGTAAGGAGCTGGTAGAGGAAAAACAAGATGCCCTGGATGTTTGCAAGGATTGACTGTGTAGTCTATGAGTATGATTTATAGATATTAATATATTATAGGAACAAAATGGCAAGTTCTACAGCAATAAATAACTGTTTTCATGCTTTTATTAGACATTAACATATTGTACTCAGATATGAGCATTCATAGGTTAAAAGATCACTTTATATCTATTCCTTTTAGGTACAAACTATATTTTTTTATACTTTGTTTTTAAAGGATAACATTACAAGAATACTGCACTTATTAAATACAGATGATTATTTTGTTATGCAACTATTAAATTAAAATAATAGCTTTTAAATTATGTTTTTTTCATTTCATTTTAATGAGTATACTATTATGAGTATTGAGTATTACTTTATTTTATCTACATCATCATCACTATCTGTTATATTTCAAATATTGATAAGTCAATGTTATGAAAAATCTATCAACTTTAGGCAACTTTGTTAGTTTTAATTTTTTAGATATTCTTGTTAAGTGTTCCCATAATTATAAAGAGATAGTTTTACGAGGGGATTTGATTTATTTGGATAATGGTAGTACACATATATTGGAGAATTTGTAATAGTTCTTCACAAAAGGTAAATTGTTATGGGTGTGAAAAATTAATCATGTGTGATTGGTGCTCAACCAGGTAATAAAACAGGATCCTTTTATCAACATGAATAAATTAAGTTAACACTTCAACCATTTATTTGTGAGTTCTTAATTTAATTACATACTAAAAAAGTTTTTTTATGGGTAAATATAGTCTGTTGCTTTAATTTTTTACCATTTCCTTAAATAATAGATCATCAATCAATCAAGACAAATATAATCTGGACATCTTCTTCCTCCGATCTGATGGTAGCTCGGGAACCAAGGCCCGAGTGTTTTTTTTTTCGAGTGTGTATGCTGTTAGTCGCAGGTGACCTTTAGAAGGCCAGAGTGAACAGGCATCTTCTAGGCTGGCGTGTAGCATCCTAGGCTTCATCATCGCTTTCCATCAGGTGAGAATGTGATCAAACGCGTTGCCTATTTTGCATAAAAAAAGATCTCTATTAGATTTTTTCACTATTACAACAAAAAAATGTTTGACCAATTATGCTACCGCGGCCCTCACGGACTGCGTCGAAATTCTTTCTAGCTATTCTTAAGCTGCAGGGCAGCGCCATCTCTTCGCATTATAGGTAAACCCACAATGTCAAATGAATACTTTTACAAGTATTAAACATTTGAAAGAAGAAATAGCAATTATAGTTATAATTTTTAAAGCATGTAACTGCTTGATGTTTAAATCTAAAGAAAATATAACTAGAAAAAATTACACGCGGACCAGGCAGCAGACGGGACTCGAACCCGCACCCTTCGCAATCCGGGCGAATGCACTGACCAATTATGCTACCGCGGCCCTCACGGACCGCGTCGAAATTCTTTCTAGCTATTCTTAAGCTGCAGGGCAGCGCCATCTCTTCGCATTATAGGTAAACCCACAATGTCAAATGAATACTTTTACAAGTATTAAACATTTGAAAGAAGAAATAGCAATTATAGTTATAATTTTTATTATTTTTAAAGCATGTAACTGCTTGATGTTTAAATCTAAAGAAAATATAACTAGAAGAAATTCCACGCGGACCAGGCAGCAGACGGGACTCGAACCCGCACCCTTCGCAATCCGGGCGAATGCACTGACCAATTATGCTACCGCGGCCCTCACGGACCGCGTCGAAATTCTTTCTTAATTGTATTGCAGAAAAAATGCGTTTTTCGATCCACCCTAATGTGTACAATGCTTTGTACACATGTCAGTAGAGACATCAAGAAAACTAAAAGTAAAGATGGGTCCCAAATTAAAGCACTTGACTGTAAATTCATTCAATTCAATCATTTCGGCTAGATACTCGGACCTTAACAACCAGGGCTTGTTTACCGGTTAATTTTCAAACCTAAATTAGTGTCAAGTACATTAGGAGCGTTTTATTTAGGTTTGGCTCTGCCTTAACCTTAAAAAAACCGGTTTTCCTAATAAGCGAAATCAAATAGGTTTTGAATCAATTTAGCGGTTTTTAAAGGGTTTCATTTCGCTCTTACTGACGGCATCGATAATAAATGAATAATTTGACTCACTTGACGCTAGCAAACGTGTCAATAAATGCATCAATCTCTGAGCATTAACAAGTTGTGACTTGATTAGTTCAAACAAAACAAACTTCAAGCGATGCGCGATGCCGACTCCCGCTGCCGCTCTGGATTAAACCGGTTTATTAAGGTTTTAGGTACCGCTTTCATTTCGGACGCGCTCCGAACGAAACCTTTACTAAAAACCGGTATTAACCTTTATTTACCGGTATTTTCGAAACCGGTTTCAAGCCCTGTTAACAACAAAAAAAGTTCTCCTTTGTGTACTTAGGTATGTATTTATTGTAGGTAGAGGTCATGATCAAGGCAAGATATTAGCACTAGGAATATAGCTTTTATTGCTATGCAGTTAAGGCGCTATTAATACACATCTTCTGTTGTACTACCTACTGATCAGAACTGATAAGGTGACGTCAACTGAATGGCATCTCACAAGATGGTGATAAACATCACATAGGTACATAACACATATTATTACTTATTAGAAAACAGAATTCTGAACTCTTATTTATTTTATTATAAAATTACAACTAATACAGTGTTTTACCTACAATTTATACTTATTTGTCACGCTACGCTATTACATTAGATAAAAGTATCACAAATTGTCGCATCAGATTAGATACTTATCTATCACAATCACAATAAAACCAGACCATTATTAACTTAATTAATTAAGTAGCTTATTTTTTAAGTAGTAGGTACCTTAAGTCGATGGGACATTGAGGGTAATATTTTGGAGATTCATCTTAAGACAATATAGTTGCACGAACCATATTTAGTATTCGGTGGTAAATGTTAAAAGTTTATTGGTAACTCTGTATAGATAGTGGTAGGGTTACCAACTTTTTTCTATCAAATATAGTATTTTCGAAGCTGTAACCTCGGAAAATATAGTAGATTGCAAAAAAAATATAGTTCGTGGTTAAAATATATACATACTTTCATTTTGAAATAAATATTTTTTGCTGTTCTGTGCCTTAATAATTATTTTTTTATTTTTAAGACAGATTTTACTGGCAAAAGTCTGCTTTAAATTTAAGAATAATATAGTAGTTTCGCCTACTATATGTATATTTTTTAAATATAGTATTTGATCTCGTAATATAATAGGATATTGGTGTCGATTCTGGCGTGATTCTCTAAACTTAAAACTAAATTTAACATCAGTCTCTCCTTTTCATTCCGTACAGAGAATGATAGAGATGCACCGTTGTCAAATTTAATTTAGCTGTAGAGAATCATGGCAGAATCGACATCACTATATTATATAGTAGGGTTGGCAACCCTAGACAGCGGTGTTGATTCTGACATGTTTCTCTGAACCTAAATTTGACAACAGTGGTGTCAATTCTGAAACGATTCTCTAAACCTAAACTTAAATTTGACAACATGACAGCAGGCTGTTCGGGTAAACCAGACCATCTCGGACTGGTGCGAACTCATTGCTGGTGTTCCACAGGGCGGCATTCTTTCTCCTCTTCTTTTTTCGTTGTTTATCAACTGTCTTACTACTATGATTCATTCCTCTTACCATCTATATGCGGACGATCTCCAACTTTATGTGCATGCCGACAAAAATGGTTTAGATGAAGCCCTGACGCGCCTAAATGATGACCTGCAGCGGATTTCGGAATGGTCCAACTGTTACGGTATCTCCGTAAATCCAGCAAAATGCCAAGCAATTGTAGAGCAATTACGATAGTGATAACGGTAACCGTTAGTGATAACGGTACAGCAATTAGATTTCAACCTAGCGTCAAAGATCTGGGTCTACTCATAGACTGTTCCCTTAGCTGGGAAAACCAAGTTGATGAAGTTTGCCGTAAAGTTATTAACACGCTTAGGGCTCTGTACAGATTGAAATTCTTTCTCCCTTCCAGTACTAAGGTTGCGCTCGTACAAGCTCTTATTCTTCCTATCCTTGACTATGCTGACGTCTGCTATTCTGACACCAATCAAAACCTTCTTTCTAAATTGGATCGTTTGCTCAATAGCGGTATTCGCTTCATCTTCGGTTTGCGTAAGTACGACCATATCTCGCACTATAGAAATCAACTCAAGTGGCTGTCCATACGTGACCGTAGAAATCTCCGGATTGTATGCATGATTTTCACTATTTTATACGATCCACGTGCCCCAGAATACTTGAAATCTAGGTTTCAGTTTCTGGGTCCCTCCAAACCACGTGATCTTCGCTCTTGCAGGCACCTTACCCTTAAAACTCATTTTCACCATTCTGGTTTCGTTTCCAAATCTTTCACTATTACAGCTATACGTCTTTGGAATGCTTTGCCATTGAATATTCGCAGTGCTCGTAGTAAATTGGAGTTCAAAAAACTAGTGCATGCACACTATCTGACCGTCTAATATTTCTCTGGTCTGCAGTCATCTATACCATCTGATATAGTTATTTCTAACTAATTAAGTGTATGTATATATTTATATATGTATGTTTATTAATTTATATATATGTGTATTTGTATTTATATATATAGGGATATTTTATTATTAGATATAATATATATTTATCGTTTATAGTATAGTATAGTTCTGTAGGATAATATTATTATTATTATTTTTCTCTAACTTTAGTAGCTCGCACTCTATCGCCAAAACATCCGTCTCATACACCCATACTGGTTGACTGGTAGAGAATGCCTATGGCATTAAGTCCGCCATTTACTGTTTTTGGTAATAAAGAATAAATAAATAAATAAATAAAAATAAATAAATAAACATTGGTGCCAATTCTGGCGTGATTCTCTAAACTTAAAACTAAATTTGACATCAGTCTCTCCTTTTCATTCTGTATAGAGAATGACAAGGATATACTGCTGTCAAATTTAAGTTTAGGTTTAGAGAATCATGCTAGAATCGACACCAGTGTATCCTTGTCATTCTCTATACGGAATGAAAAGGAGAGATTGATGTTAAATTTAATTTTAAGTTTAGAGAATCACGCCAAAATCGATACCAGTGTATCCTTGTCATTCTCTTTACAGATTGATGAGGAGAGACTGATATTAAATTTAGTTTTAAGTTTAGAGAATCATGCCAGAATTGACACCATTTACAAGTAGTCTATTCAGTCATAGGTACTTATGTGGTAAGTTATCTAACTATCGTACAGATATAAATTGTGACTTACGTTACGATATGATATGAGTACTATCATCATATTTTATGTCATAATATTAAATGTCAAAAATAGGTATACACAACCTTTTTTATTGGCCATTTCTTACACATCGATATAAAAAGAATAATCTAAGCTATTCCCTTGTATTTCTGCATGAGGTTATATCCTATCGCACCAACAATTTCTATCTCAAATAAATCTAGCAAAATTTTATCTATGCTTCAGAAATTTGCTTATATAAGTCATGAACTTGTTAGAAAATTCGGTTGTGAGACGGTAGCGCAGAGCAAAATACGCTATGAGTCTGTGCACAAAGGTGAATGCAAGTAGACCGATCACTTGTATGTAGTAGCTTTCGTTGCTCATGCCCACATCTCTCAGTATTAGTTTTGGGTTGGCGTATAGGCAGAAGTCGTCGTTGCACTCCATGTAAGGACGGTTTTCGTATAAAGCCAGGGAGAATCCAGATAAGCCGTAGCGTAAATAGGAGGCTGACATAAGGAACTTCATGCTAGCTTCTATGTAAGGTCCGAATCCCATGCCGTAACAGCACAGCGCAAGGAGTGGAGCGGCGATGGCCGGACCCACGATTGAACCATTCTGTAAAAGAACATATTTTATATTATTTTTAAAACATAAACATATTTTATGTTAGCTTCATTATGTTTGACGACCTCCGCGGCCGAGGGGTTTGTATGCCGGGTTTCAAGGTGTCGCCTACTCGAGATGCTTTCCAGGTTTTTCAAGCTAATAGTTTAGGTTTTAGAGGGGGGAGGGGGCGCCCTACACGAACAAAAATTGGCACTTTAAAGTTAAATATTTCGCAAACGGATCTCTAAATCGAAAAACAGTCTTGGTAACCTCTCAATAATTTTAAGGAACCTATTCAATGATACCCCACGCGATGATGTAGACGATGAAAAAATAATCATTCCCAGGTTACATGTAGGGGAGCTACGCTAATAATGTATTTTTTTAAAATAATTTTATTCTACCATTTTGTCGGCGTAATTGATATACATATCTCCACTAAATTATAGCTGTCTAGTCCTAACAATCTCCAAGCAAAACTGGGGACGGGCTGACAGAATGACATGACGAAATTAAAAGGGTTCCTTGTCAGGACTACGGAACCCTAACAGGCAAAACGTAGAGGCCTAGTATAACTACTTATTGTTCTGTGTGAAATTTCTTTTACTTATTATCTTATTTTCAAGGAGGAAATCGTCGAGAGCCATCCTTCGAATAATGCATTTTTATTAGCAATTTTCAGCTTTAGCTACTCTTATCCTTATCGTATGGTATTTGCCAATGAGCGACAGTAATAGTTTTTACAAATATAACTATTTCTCAAATGTCTCTTAGCTCGCGTCCGTGTATGCAGATTGGTATACGAATTTGAAGTAATAAAATCCCTACTCTACTTCGTTTTTTTTGCAGAATTATTGGTTTCTGATGCCTCCCCTTACCCAACAATTTTGAGTTATATTTAACTCACTGTTCTTTTCTAGGTCGCTTTTATCATTATACCAAAATTCATTAAAATCGGCTCAGCGTGACGTGCGTGAATGCGCGACAAACATACATGGATGGGACCTCAGATTATAGAACAAAATGGTTTCAACAACCTAGCTATCCCGGTTCATAAGATACAGCCTGGTGACAGACAGACACACAGATTAAATGAAACAAGTTTTGAACCGGAATAAATCAATTAACTTACTATAACGACTATCTTATTATAATAAATGAGAATCATCCAAAAAAATCAAATATTAAAGTGATTGTAAATCAGTCCTTAGATACAACAGACATTTGAACCAGTGAAACTAAGTAAGTTTTAAGCTAGAAAAAAACATAAATTATCGACGAAATGATATTTGCGTAGAAATAGGTCAGTCATTGTCTATTTAGTTTCCCAAAGTTATTCGTCTGTTTCAGACATTGTTATCGATTTCTCTATAACAAGGCTTCTAATTGAAACTACACTGTGCGCGTGAACAATTATTCACCCATATAAGTGCTGCAAAGCAAAAACGATAAGATTCGATTCAAGAGAAGGTATTTTGTTCCATTGACTTCTTCTTGCTAAAAGAGTCGAGAAATATCTATACTAATATTATAAAGCTGCAGAATTTGTTTGTTTGTTTGAACGCGCTAATCTCTGGAACTACTGTTCCGATTTGAATGATTCTTTCAGTGTTGGGTAGTCCATTTATCGAGGAAGGCTATAGGCTATATTTGTTTTTCAAAATTAGGGATCCGTAATAAAATTGCTATTTTTTAACACAAGGTGTAAAATCGAAAACCTATTTTTGCGTGCGCTGCAAAAACAACAATTGACAATAGAACAAAATGATCTACTATGGGTTTGCAGATCCCTTTAAGACCTACAAAAAAGTCCGCGAGAAAATATATCTAGCTATTATGGTTTAATCACAATAACCGATTTTATGTTCAAAATAATTCTTAAATCGTCTGAAGAAAAAAAAACTACGTTAAATATGTATCGTAATATTAATCTTTATCGAAATTAAGCATTATGTTATCAAGAGTATTTATGTAGAAGTAAAATACTTTTTGTTTCATCTCAATCGGATATTTCGTTTAAAAGTTATCACGTGTGTAAGATGTTAAGAGTTGGTACCTATTAATGAGTTATGGGCCATAGAGTTTTTTATCAACATAAACACTCCCGCCTGTAGTCGTAATTCTTATGTATCTGGCTGAATGTCGAACAGATAGACAGCTATTGCCTGCGACTTATACAATTTAACTTAATCTATATTTTTCTTAATATTAGAAAGCTGAAAAGTTTGGTTGTTTGTTATGAACTCAGTAATCTCGGGGAATACTGATCTGATATGAAAACTGTTTAAATATTCAATAGTCCATTTATTGAGGGAGGCTATAATATAGGCAATATTTTATCTCGGTATTTCCACGGAAACGAGAAAAACGCGGGTGAAACCGCGGGGCACGGCTAGTAGTGAAATAATTCCAGATCAGCCAATTTATCTTCTCTGCCTTTTTCTGTGTTCGGTAACCCCACACTTAAAAGCTATTAGTTTTTATATTGAGATAAGATGACTATTTATAAATTTACATAAATCTGTATATTTCTTCTCGACAAAACTGTTGTTTTGCATTCGTGTACAGAGCGAGTGAGCTTATTAAAAGTTGTTGGCATAAGATAGAAAAGGATAAGAAGATTTAATGGAAATCTCTAGGAAAGAAGTCTCATCACTGAATAAGCTGGAGACTGTCGGAGCAAATCGCTTGAGCACGACTTTAGTAGGTACTGAATAGCGGGAACGATTCCACTCCTTGTTAATGTAAATAACCATTTTTATTAGGTATCTACTACTAGATAGTAGGTACTCGATAAACGTTGTCCGGTTCGATAAATATGTAAAAAAAATCTTTAAACTCGACTGCAGCGCAACCTATCGGATAGAGCCATTAAGTTCTCAAATATGGTGTGACCTTAGGGAATGAAAAAGAGAGACTGCTAAATATAATAAAAAGTGATACTCACAGTAACGCTAAACGCGGAGCCGACAGCCAATCCGAGTCCCTCAGAGCATACAGCCGTGAGAATACCGCTGATACTGAACAGAACGAATCGGTCCCACTCAAGCAGCTGCCCGGACATCAAGTACGAGATCACCAGGAACACTAGCCCGAGGATTATCTGTAGCAAAAAAGATAATCCTAGATAATCTACTCTACCTATGCATACCGAATTAACCACCTGCGCCATCGAACTGAGGAGCTCGATGGCGGTTAGCGCGTTCGGCCTGCGATCGTGGAAGTTCAGCAACTTTCGCAATGGTCGGTCATTGGATGGGCGACCAAAAACTTATTATCTTGAGCTCCTCCGTGCTTCGGAAGGCAAATTAAGCCCGTTAAAGTTGGTCCCGGTTGCTTCTGCAAACGTTAGTATCCACCAATCCTCACTGGGCCCGCGTGTTAGGTCATGGCCCAATATCCCTATTCCATCCATAGGGAAGGCCTGTACCCCAGCAGTGGGGACATTAATAGGTTGTGATGATGAAGGTAATGTAATTGGTAATACCAATAATAATTCGCTGTGCGATCTGGGTATATCGCGTGGCGAAGGAGCGTAGAACATTCGTTGAGTAATTATTTGGCAGTCCTAGGTATTTAGAGGCTTAGTAATAATATTTGCTGTGCGATTGTATCTGGTTCTATCACGTGGCGAAGGAGTGTAGAACAATCGTTGACTCATTATTTTGCGGTATACAGTCTGTGCTAATAATATTAACCTTCCATAACAAAAATACCCCTAAATCATGAGGGAATTACTATAGTTAGATTTGCAACCTAGATTTAAGGGGCCCGTTTATATTTAAATGGCATTAAGAATATCTCATTTTATATTCGTATTATACCGTGGAAATAAAGAAAATTTTCCTAATTTCTATAGCATATTACGTATCGGAAGTTATTTGCACTAAACAATAGACAATTTCAAGTAGGACCAACAAGTTTAAGTTCTGCTTTAATGACATAATGGTGTCGATTCTGACATGAGTCTCTAAACCTTAAATTAAATTTGACAACAGTGTATCCTTGTCATTCTTTATACAGAATGAAAAAAAGTGATTGATGTTAAATTTAGTTTTAAGTTTTGAGAATCATGCCAGATACGACACCATTGTAGAACCATAGCTGATCTATGTGTACAACGTAATTTTTTAAAGTAAGTAAGTATTCGAACAATACTCGAACAGAATGTAAAGTTTTTGAAACTTAAAACGGAGTGATTACTTGCTCACTACTGCTTAATACCTCAAGGGATTGAAAAATAAGTAATAAAGTAGATCGTCTTTTGTTCAACTAAGTACCTACTTATGTTACTTATAACAGAGAAGAGGAATTCCTTACCATAACTGGGAAACTTGAGAAGGTGAGCGCCGCGTAGTAAGCCTTCAAACTATAATACCGGTTGAAGTATTCTCTACGGAGCAATCTCACCTCCGTAGGAACTGGTGAAATAAAAACAATACACATAAGCACAAAGAGAAAGAAATTCGGAATCGCCCATCGAGGGTTCTGTACAAATTTTAGGTAGGTACGCTGTTGCTTTAAACCAGCTATGTTTAACCAGCCATATTTTTTATGTTAATCAAACTTAGATAAAAGAAGAACCACAGAACACAGAAAGAGGTTAAAAAGAGTGACCATAGACCGTTTGTACGGGAACCGATATCGCCGGCTCGTCCCCACTACTCTTCCACCTCATAGATAAATAGGTAATAGCCAATCAAACGACGCGACATCAAACGAATGAACCAATCAGCGCTCACACCCGAGAGTAACAACACAATCAGAACCAAATTTTGGTCAATTTATGAGCAACTGTAGCGCGCTTGCCCCGCCCACAAGTCCCTCCTAACCTCTTTCTGTGTTCTGTGGAAGAAATACTAGAAAAATCGAAACGGTCAGTACGAGGTAGCATAATAATGGGTCGGCGCTTCCGCCCGGATAGCAGAGGGTGTGGGTTCGGGTCCCGTCCGCTGCCTGACCGCGTGTTTTTTTAGGACTTTGATTTTTTAAAGCTTCGAAGGACGGTTGATCTGAGTATATGGCTTAAATTTCAACTGAGATATGGTAACCCTACCTAGGGCACACGCTGCCCTAGGTAGGGTTACCATATCTCAGGATTTGTCCTGACATTTTAAGGATTTTTGGACTCTGGATTGCGGCTGGATTTTGCAAATCATGAAATCTCAGGATTTTTTGAAATTCCAATAAAATACAGCTTACGCATTAAAGATCTCTTTAATAAAAAGATAAACAAACTAAAATAATCTTCTATTGGTAATAATTGTTCAATTAAAATCAGTACTTTATTATCCAAGTTAATCTTAAATTAATCAGTTTTATCATACTTATTAAGTGAAGATACATTTTTATGTAAGGTTTTTTCTTTAATTATGGATTCATATAATGCCCCACATTTTATAAATTAAAATTAAGAATACATTTAAAATATAAGCAGAGTATAAACGATAATATTACGACTTTTTTAAATTGTTAAGTACGTTTGAGCGAAAATTCTCAAACTGTAAAAAATCTCAGGATTTTTCAATGGAATGGAATGTTCTCCGGACTTTTGATTTTTTTATCTGGTAACCCTAGCCCTAGGTAAAGGTCTTACCAGGCAGACGGATAACAAAGTGATCCTATAATGGTTCCGGTTTTTTCGTTATGAGGTTCGTAACCCTAAAATAGAAATGAAAAGGTATTTCGAAGGAACAACGGCATGGAGAACGTAGGCGTTTTATTCATTAAACATACAGAATACATAATGACTGTATCAAAGGAAAAGTAAAATGTGTTTTGCAAAGAGACTACATACGTACATATTTTTTAGGTTTATTAACAATTTGTTAGTTATATTTATAAATGCAATAAGCAAGGTGCACTTCACGAAGCATTTAATTTTATTGACGTCTTTGCGTGCAGCCATTAGCTTAGATTTGATTTGAGATTTGGACTATGTTAGTAAGTAGTGGAAATTCTTTTGTAATAATCTCATAAATAAAAACAGTCTAAACTTATATAAAACACCTTTTCATCGGGATTCAACTGCGTCTTTTAAATATTTTTAAACGTTTCTCTACGTTTCGGACTCCGTTCTCAAGAGAATGATCAAGATTTCTCAAGTATCTCTTTTAAATGTATAAAAATACCAACGGCCGCCCGCGACTTCGTCCGCGTTAACTTTGGGCTTTTTTGTCAATCCCACAGGAACATTTTTACGGGATTAAAAGTATTCTATGTCTCAATCTAGGTCATAAACTATATAGGTACCAAAATTTATCTAAATCCGTCCAGTGGGTTAGGCGTGAAAGCGTAACAAACAAACTTACTTTCGCATATATAAAATATACTATCTGTGCCCTGCGGTGTTACCCGCGGTTTATCAGGGATATTTTCTCGCTGCAAAACGTAGCCTATGTGTTAATCCAGGGTGTCAGCTAACTCCATACCAAATTTTATTAAAATCGATCCAGCCATTAAGTGTCGCCGCACACGGGCCACCGACCACAACCACAAAACGCCGCCACCGGCATATTTCTTGTAGTTTTCATACATTTTATATGGACTCGCCACACACGGTACGCGCCGGTGGCCGCCACACGCTACAAATCGTCGTTGCTCGCTTCTTGTGGCCCGCACCGGCCACTTAATGCGCCGATACAAAAGGCCGCCACACGTCACTCGCGCGATTCCCCACCCCTCTCTCCCTTACCTCAGTCGGCCACTGTAGCGCGCTTCAGCCACTTTAGTAGCCGCTTCTAGCTTCTCGTGGCGGCGTTTGTGGCTGTGGCGTGTGGCCCGTGTGCGGCGACACTCAGACGTGAAGAAGTAACAGACACACACAATCACAAACTTTCGCCTTTATAATATTATATTAGTGTGATTAGTTAGTATAGATACTTACACAATAATACAGGTATCATAATATACGTGTACATGAAGAAAACAAGGCAGCTGAGGCAGAATTTGAAATTAACTATGGGCGCATTGGCATCGTTTCCCACCAAGAAGAATATGCTGCCGAGAAGGAACGCCGACAGCAAATGGTGTAACAGTTGAATCCACAGGGACACCTAGAAATTGTATTGTATAATCAATAAGCATTTAAAAAAAAACAGTTTAAACATTCACACCAATTAGCATTGTCCTAAAGTAACCACATTGCTGTGGTGACCACTGTGACGCTTGTTATGGGGTAACGGATTTTACGACGTATTCATGTATAATAAAATATAAGTTTATTTTTCTAGAATGAATGGTTGTTGTGGTGTTGTAACTGTGGCGAGTTTACACATACATACTTTTTTGAAGTGAAAACTTCTTTAGCGGCGTTGTACACTTTTTTTGTAATGAGTAAAAAATGCTAAACTCGCGTCAGGACACGTGGCCTGATCGAAAATTCGCAAGACGAAAACAATAAAATTGGAAAGGTTGTTGATTTTCAATATATTGGACGAAACATATTTTATTTTATCGTATTACAATAATAAGTTTCTAACTAGGACGTTCAGGCGGCAGCTTTATTGCGAAGAAAATGCTTTTTTTTTACAACAGATGTCGCTAGGTGCGCTTAAATGTGATTCATGTAAGTTCATTTTTCTGAGACATAAACTTTTTAATGTAATAGAAATTGTCATGTTTGTGTACGATAGCGCAATAAATAAATATTGTATTCTACACATAAAATATGATAGTACTTTTATACCGATAATTAAAGCAATTCGTGCAAAATTATTCCCTAACCATTCCAAAATATCAAAAATGCACAACGTTAATATTCAAGTTTTCACTTCTGCCGGCACTCTCGGAGTGCAGCCCGTCGTTTTTTTTGTGTCTGGGAAATGCTTTACGCATTCTTGAACCACCGGGGGAGCGAAAAGAAGTTATGTGGGATTCCTCCCTGCTCATTTCAGTCAGCCCTAGGGCCGGATGATATGAGCAGGGCCCTACCTACGCGCCCTGAACAGGGCCACTAAACCAGACAATACTCTTGCACGGGTCACCCGCACCCGACACTCATTCGAAGGACCTCAGTCCCCCCAATGCGTGATTTCCAACTGGCCACGCATCCGCCGGTGGAGTTTACACATACGACGACCTCCGTGGCCGAGTGGTTTGTAAGCCGGGTTTCATGGTGTCGCCGACTCGAGAGGTCCCGGGTTTGTATCCCGGTGGAGGCAGATGTTTGTGTGATGAATACGAACATTTGTACTCATGTACAGTATTAAACATCCATTAATATGTATTTCTATATAAATATACTTATATATGTACAGAATATATGTATTCTATCCGTTACCCTAGTATCTAGGTGTACCTAGGTGTGTGTTGAAAATAAAACCTACTTTGTTTCGTTGTGGCGAATGACCAACAACTCTATTTAAATAGCCCTTCCCCCCTAGCATGAGCTCACGATATGATATATAACACGTTTTTTACACGCACAATTGTCAATTACTATGGAAAAAACGTGATATAATGTAAATTTCGGTGCTTATGCTACGCGGACTGTCTTAAATTAAGCTCATACAAGAATGTGGAAACGTTTTTGTCATTTTTGTATGGGTTAATTCTAAGTTTTGTGAAATTGAGATTTAGCAAATCTGGTGCAAGTGGACCTAAGGTACGTTTTCATCACAAAAACATTGTGCCATTAGTATTTCAACCTAGGACCTCTGAGTAGGCACCACTTCGTAAACCAGTGCACATTCATACTAACTTACTTACACCCAAGAGGTGGTCAATTAGTGATTAATTATACCGCAATTACATTTGGTCGTTAGCCCGTATTCAGGTGTACGAAAGATATTACAAATAAAAATTTCTGTACATTAAATAGTTGAACTTAAATGTACTTATTGTGCTAGTGATCTCATCCATAATATAGATTAGTATAAAAACATGACTAGCACAACAAGTATGGAAATAGGAATTAAAGGTAAATTAATTAAAAGAAGGTCAAATGTCAGCATAAGATAAACTCACCGAGTTCCTAGTGGTTTGTAAAAACATCCGCTTCGTTAGAATCAGAAATTGGGTCAAGAAAGTGGTGGGGAACTCCATTTTTTGCATTTGCTCTTTGGCAACGTGCTCTCCGAATATTCTTTGTATAGACTCGTCGGAGTGTAGAACCGGTTTTCTAAAAGAACAAAAAGGTTTGTTTAAGTAAAGGTGTCCTTACAAGTAACGCATCTGCGACAAAGTCGTTGGTACATAGGATTACAATACGTTCCTTTATTTAGTCGCTTTGCAAAGGAAATAGGTAGTTCTATATTTATTATAAGAACAACAATCTTAAATGTAGGTAAAATATTTAGTTAAAACAGCATTGACGTAATCCATAATAATATAAACTAATTTATTTTAATAACACGAAATTCAATTCAACTTCTGGACCCTGTAAAATAAAGCTCTTAGAACTTTTGCGAAAAATCTCTTTAATAAACACAATTTGAATAAAGCCAGTTTACCAAAGTTTCAGAAAAAAATATCTGAAAGAATTTTCTCAGAAAATCATTCGCTTGTATAGTATAATAGGTACTTAATCACAAATGAGTTTAACTAACGTAAGTGAAATGAGTCCCAATTTCACAGGTATTTGTTAAAGTTATATTTTTTTTGAAGCATTTAACTGCTAGATGTTCAAATCTAAAGAAAAATCTACTTAAAAAAATATCTCGAACTCGAACCTGCACCCTTCGCTATCCCGGCGAAGACACTGACCATTATGCTACTGCTAAATGCTTAAAAATAAATAATATAACTATAATTGCTATTTCATCTTTCAAATGTTTAATACTTGTAAAGGTATTCATTTGACATTGGAGGCTACCTACAATGCGAAGAGATGGCGCTGCCTTGCAGCCGAAGACTAGAGAAAATTTGACACGGCCATCAGGGCCACGGCAGCATAATGGTCAGTACATTTACCCGGATAGCGAAGGGTGTGGGTTCGAGTCCCGTCTGCTGCCTGGTCCGTGTGTAATTTTTCTCTAGAGGATTTTTCTTTAGATTTAAGTATCTATTATGTCCAATTGTAGATGACAATGTACAGAAACTATTGATGTATTTTACTAACGTTAAAGCACTTTCAGAGAAACAAAACTCTGTGGGTGTTTGAAGACAAAAGTGTTATCACATTGACGATTTAAGTCGCTTATTGATTTCAAGTGCCAAGACGAGAGCGACATGCGACTTAGTCGGTGAGCTTGTAAAGCCACCTTTAAACTTTACGAGCAAGCTACTCAGTTGGGAAATTTAACGCAGCTGCAGCAAGCTGCACACTGGAAATGTAATTAAAAAAATTGTTTTCTAACTATGGTTTTCTTGCGATGTTCATTAAAAAAGTTATATTATGCGCACTGTGACGCAGCGAGTAATTTTATGGACTTTCTAATCAGTTATCATCCTTTTGCTTTTCGCACTTATTATCATTTTTGGACGAAATTGATAAGAACTTTGAATTTTTTATGAAGAGAGGCAGCATAGATAGTAGATTAAGCACCAAAGGAATAAATCAGTGTATTAAGTCACGGGCAGACTGTTGTATTCTGAACGAAATTAAGGATTCTGTAATTATGCTGGACATAATAATACATGTTCCAGGGCGCACTGGGCACCCGCGCGTGGTGATAGTCCATTCTCCCTATTCCGTCAATAGGGAAGGCCTGTTCCTCAGTAGTGGGGACATTTATTGATGGCGTGTGTACAAATGAGAATTGCGATTAGATCATCGATTTTCTTACCTGCCCCCTCTCGCTGTGATTCGGTCTAGTTTTCTGCACAGTTTCCCATTTTGGCACAGCTCCGAGAGCTGAGCGGGTGCTTCGATGTCGTTCAGCAAGGTCTCCAGTACGAAGTCCGCGGGGTTGTGGGTGGTGGGGCAAACGTGACCAGCTTCAGCGAGATATGGCACGAGGAGTGGAGCTGCGCCCTGCAAAGAAAATAGTTTATTTAACGATGACAGACATGAACTAACTTTGGAGTTTGATTAAAGTTGGTGCGATGCACTTCGCGCTGCCAAGAATCGAAACAGATGCGAGTATCTTAGTATTGCCAATTACCGAAGATTTTTTATTTTTTTGCCGTCTCTGACTACGGCGGTTAGACAGCTCCGCTTAAAGTCAATAAGGGAAGAGCGAGCTTGTCTTTCGCCCTTTGGCAGATGATTTCACTTCACGTTTTCTCTGTCTGGAAAATGTTGCTCATTCGTTTTGAACAGCTATTTGACGGCCAGAGTGATGGGCCGGCGCACTTACGACAATTATTGTTGTGCTTGTGTGCTCTTGTGGCATATCTATCTGCACAATCTTACTAATACATTCTATTTTCTAATATGCAATCTATTAAAAATACGGAGGGCATTTCGTCTGTTAGTCTCTTACGCTTGCTTGCCTAAACCGCTGAACCGAGGTTAATGAAATTACGTATGAAGAAAAAACTTTTTATGTTCATACGAAATTAAAATAACATCCCTTTAGTAGAGCAAGGATTCGGTAAAAAAATATTTGATGTATTTTTCGTAAATAAATTATAATGGGCCGTAAAAGGGATGAAAGTAAATATATGTTAAAAAGAATTATGTAGCTGAAGGACTACACAAAAGAGTGGCATCCAACTTAAAGATAAAACTTTTACATCTCACTTCATTTATTTAAGTTATTTCTATCGGTGATAGAGGTTGCTTTCCAATTACAGAGCATAATGCGACTCAGTGCCGCACAATGCCGAATTATGCTGATGCTTAATTGGAACGTGAATTAGTTTTCAAATGCACCAGCAGAGTGCGCTAAGTTCAGTGTTGAAAAAAAAAAGTCTATGTTTCAACCTTCATCCATATTTACATTTAATTTTTAACACAGTTTGAATTAACTTTGATTATTTAAAAAAAACTATGATGAAACGAAAGTTTTAATAATTATTCAACAATAAATAATATCACTAACGATTACATATAAATAAAACATTTCGATCAATGCCATCTTAAAGAAAAAACACTTGTTAATTTTCTGTCTCTGAGTTGGTACGATTGCTCGCATCACACGAAAGCATTACTTTTGAGAGTGCTCAATTGTGCGAAGCGTTGCTGTAGTTGGAACACTCAACGTTAAGCATTATGCCGCATAATGCGCTATAATGCTGTAATTGGAAAGCATTAAAAATTATTAAAGTAAATTATTAAAGCTTTCGTTTCATTAAATAGTTTTTTTTACAATCAAAGTTAATTCAAACTGTTAAAAAAATAAATATAAGTATGGATGAAGGTACAAACATTGACTTTTTTTTTCAACACTGAACATAGCGCACTCTGCTGATGCATTTGTAAACTAATTCACGTTCCAATTAAGCATCAGCATAATTCGGCATTGTGCGGCACTGAGCCGCATTATGCTCTGTAATTGGAAAGCAACCTATTCTGTTAGAACAAACTCACCTGTCACTGCTGCATCAGTGAGCGATTTGAAATTAGAATACAAATTTCAAATCCCACCGTGGATACCGCGGTGAAAAGTGAGTTTGTTTTAACAGAATGCACTGCTGGCAGTTTAGGAAGTTTTTTCAAAAGCAAGTTATAATAAAATATAAAATTTCATCGCCATACAAAAACGGCGACCTGTACAATCACTAAGTTTATTTAAAAGCTCAGTTGAATTGATCCCCTTTCATTAATTGCATACAGAAAGCAAAGGTGCATTTATAGAAATGAAGATTTATTTCAAGATTTATTTCTGTGTGGTGTGCATCAAAGTTTCACGCCAACGATAATATTTAGTTGAGCCAGCCAGACGTACGGCGGTGCTGAGTTTAAAGACACTTTATTAAAGTTCACAGAATCTTGTTATTATCTCGGGGGAGGGGGACCTCAATAAAATAAGTCACGGACTGGAAAAAGTGTCCCCGAGGAAATATGAAAATTGCAAGAGTGTTTTGGATGTAGTTTGAAAGACGATCGCAGAGTTCGAGAATATTTATGCGACGCAGAAATATGAGGGGAAAGAGATCTTTAGAAAAACTTCTTTAAGTTGGCTTCTTCATTCTTAACAGTGTAGGTAGTTTTCTTGGAAAAATGATGTTAGTGATGTTTTCCTAGTAAAGTTTTATTGGAAAGTTTTAATTATATTTGTTTCTTATGTTTTCACGCACTTAAAATAAAACTAGTTTTAACGGGTTAATGCACGAACTTTATTTATTTATTGACGTTTCGCAGCCTTTTCAGTACCCTTAGTACAAGTTTTACAATTACGAAATCCAGGTCTGCATCGTCACAATAATGATAGTTCGTAATTTATTCTGACGATGCAGACCTGAAAAGGCTGCGAAAAGTAAAATAAATAAAGTTCGTGCATTAACCCGTTAAAATTTGTTTTATTTAAGTTTTAATTATACTTACTTATCAGAAGTTCAAGGTTTTAATAAATCAAGGTTTTATTCAATAAATATTAATAATAATAATAAAATAACTTTATTTCTCACCACAAATGACAAAAAAGGTTTACACAAAATCTTAGGCGAATTTTATAATCATGATCAACTTATCAGAAGTTAAGTTAAATGTTCTTCATAAATATGGAATCTGAGCGTAGGAGCAGGCACGTGTTTAACAACTTAGTTCAATAATAACAAGAGCGTTTAGAAAAATAACGTACGTTGTTATTTTTATTTTATATCAAACAAGCCTCTATCGTAGGTAAAGTCGGGTACTCATTAGCGAGCTGTAACCGTAACATTCGTGATACAGTACGAGGTTCTAGTGTGTACGCTTGTAGCTCAGTTGTAAACGTCTCGGCTCGCTGTAAACCGCACGCGTACCGCTCGCAGCAGGTTAGCGAACCACGTACACACTATGCTTTTTGGTTACAGTGCATGCAACGGTTATGGTTACAGCCCGCTAATGAGTATCCGGCTTAAGTATTCAGATTACTTAATAGTTAGTAACGCCCGTTTATCATATTTTTTGAAGTGATAACTTCTTTAGCGGCGTTGTTCACTTTTTTTGTATGGGTAAAAAATGTGAAACTCGCGTCAGGTTAAACACGTGGGCTGATCGTATCATGACATACAATAAAATTGGAAAGGTTGTTTGACTTTCAATTTATCGGACGAAACATAGTAATATTTTATTTCACCGTATTATAATAATAAGTCTCTATCCAGGACGTCCACGTGGCAGCTTTATTGCGAAGAAAATGCATTTTTTTACAATAGATGTCGCTAGGTGCGCTTTAAATGTGATTCATGTAAGTTGATTTCTTTACAATAGATGTCGCTAAGTGCGCTTAAACGTGATTCATGTAAGTTGATTTTTCTGAGAGATTTTTTTTGTAATGTAATATAAATTGTCATGTATGTGTACGATAGCGCAATAAATAAATTTTGTATTCTACCATATACATGATAGTACTTTTATACTGATAATTAAAGCATTTCGTGCAAAATTATTCCCTAACCATTTCAAAATATCAAAACTGTACAACGTTAATATTCAAGTTTTCACTTCTGCCGGCACTCCCGGAGTGCAACCCGTCTTTTTTTTATATAAATCCTTTCCACTAGTTTGTCGCTGAGCGACAAGTGCTATGAAAAATAATACTCGTTGAGCGATACTGGTTCAGCTGCTACGCTCGTTTTTCGCTTATAACAAAAGATGCGCGCGTGCATTTTGCTCGGAATAGTCACGGCAAGCGATTGGCGTAGGCAATCGCCTGTCGTATAAGTCGCGGCACGAAACTCTAGCGCTGGCCGTTATTGCGCAGAAGTAAAAATTTAGATGTCTTGATAGTACATACATACCCACATAAATGTTAATATGTAACAGTGAAATGGTTATAATTACAGCCGCAATTAATTTTGGGCGTTTTAATAAGACATGTTAAGACTTGAAAAGGTTGAGCTGAGATTTATTACCTAAATATTTATACTTTGCTCTCGAATAAGTATTTATTAATGTATGTTTTGTTTAAGTAGAGTACCTATAGAAGAAGTACTTGAATTGTGTGCTTGTGATTAATTATCCCCGAGCTTTTTATGTTAAAAGAGTGGTAAATTAGCGTATGGCCCGCATGATGGTAAGCGACACTATGCTCTAAGGAATCTTGCGATATCTGATATATAACTCGCGCCGTTGCCTACCATGACCCAATACTCCACCCTGTGGAGCCCTAGAAGCTTAGCGTATACACATTTCATGGTTTGAATTCAGATGACGCGTGGTGCAATGTATTCTGAATTCAAACAATGAAATATGTATCTTTTCGCGTAGTAAATAAAGTTATGTTTCGAGTCGCTCTGTGCAGCGTGCAGCGTCGCGTCGCGTTTCGAGGGTATTTAATATCGTTGGTGAGCAGACACTTACTTACCGACAGAAACACAACACCACCAAAGTTATGCAATTACACTTGGTCGTTAGCCCAAATTCGGGTGCATGAAAGACATTACTCGATCTCGGGCACCCGATGAAATAATTACCTACTTTGTTTTACTCACGTTCAGGTACTGGAACAAGGGCAAACGAACCTACACTTGTGTTCTAGTTGGAACTAACCTACACTCTTGTTCTAGTTGGAACGAACCTACACTCGTGTTCTAGTTGGAACGAACCTACACTCGTGTTCTAGTTGGAACGAACCTACACTCGTGTTCTAGTTGGAACGAACCTACACTCGTGTTCTAGTTGGAACGAACCTACACTCGTGTTCTAGTTGGAACGAACCTACACTCGTGTTCTAGTTGGAACGAACCTACACTCGTGTTCTAGTTGGAACGAACCTGCACTCGTATTCTAGTTGGAACGTACCTCAGTGATGCCAGATTGGGGGAACGAAAACGAATACGGGCGTACTCATCATCATCATCAGCCTATTAATGTCCCCACTGCTGGGGCACAGGCCTTCCCTATGGATGGAATAGGAAGATTGGGCCATGACCCATGCGGGC